ATAAAATACCTCCAGAAAAATCTGTTGATCATGCCTTACATATTGCTGCAAGGAAAAACACCATCTTAACAAAATCTTAATATTTTCTCAGAAGGGGTAAGTCAGGGTATGGTATTTAAAGAGTGTTGGGACATAGCTGGGTGATTTTTAAGGCAGCTATTGCAAGGTGGAGCTGGTTGGGATTAGGCAGAGTTTAAAAATAATAGCTTTGTATTGGTGGACAAAATGAGGCAAGTGTTTTAAAATAAATCTTGATGAGCAAGATAATTATCAGAAAAATACTGGTGAGCAAGCTGTTTTAGTTGGTTTACAGTCTCATCTTCCTAGACAGGAATTCCTGAAATAAAAAGCTACTATCTTTGCATGGCTGTAGTATTGTCTAAAATAGGGGCAGGCTATTTGTTTTCCTTTTCAACTCTGTGGTGGGTTCATGCTGTTCACTTAATTGTTCTTTAACGATGCATATGTTATGTTTCAAAACACAATTTCTTTTTCTCTAGGAAAGCAATTATACTTAAACATTCCATAAGAAATTTATATTCCATTCATTGAAAGAAAACAAACAAAACAACAAAAGAAATTTATAGGCTGAAAACTGATAAACTATCCCCTTAAGTCAGAGTGCTGGGATTACAGGTGTGAGCCACCACACTCAGTCCAAGCTTATCTTTTTAAATGTGTTCTGTAACATGTAAAGGGTGGGAAGCACTGGCTTGGGGAACTGTGTCTTATGGAAATGGCATATTTTTAAACACTAGACTCACAATTGGCTCAGTGGAACAATGACATTATGAGAAACACACAGAAATGAAGACCCCCGAGGGAAGCATATATTTGCTTATTTCTGTGTATGCAGAGCTGAATTCCAGTAAGTGAATCTCTAAGAGAAATAGATCTCTAGCCAGATGTGGGTTGTGTGCCTGCAATCCCAGCTACTCTGGAGGCTGAGAGAGGCTGAGGCAGGAGGATTGCTTGAGCTCAGGCATTCAAGACCAGCCTAGGAAAAACAGTGAGACTGTATCTCAAAAAAAAAAAAAAAAAAAAAAAAAAAAAAAAAAAAGGAAACAGATCTCTAGGTCTTAGTGCTTTGAAGTTGCTTAAAGAAAATAAAAAAGCTGATCTTTTGTAGACATTCAGAAAGAAGGGAAGTCTATCAAACAGTCACACTCTATTTATTGCAAACTAGTTCATTTATTTGTCTGAAATACACTTCCCCACGTTGTCCAATGATGAGAAAGACCAAAGTAGAATTAAAATCAACCAAACCAAAACCAACAAAAATTCCTGTAGAATTCTATCTTGCTTTATTAGTAAAGACTTCAGTAATAGCTCTTCTGCTTCTTTAGAGTTTAAGTATAAAATTAGAATTTTTTTTTTAGATGAGAAAATTTGTTATTTTAGCCAAGCCTTAAAATTTGCCATCAATTTAGATGATGTAAACTTTGAGTTGTTTCCCCTATGGTTAAAATAAACAAATAGGCTGGTGCAGTGGCTCATGCCTGTAATCCCAACACTTTGGGAGGCTGAGGCTAGAGGGTCGCTTGAGTTCCGGAGTTTGAGGCCAGCCTGGGCAACACAGTGAGGCCTTATATCTACAATATATTAAAAATTAACCAGGCTTGGTGGCACATGCCTGTAGTGCCAGCTCTCTGAGAGGCTGAGGCAGGAGGATCACTTGAGCCTAGGAGTTGGAGGCTGTAGTAAACTATGATCATACTACTGCATTCCAGTCTGGGTGACAGAGTGAGACTGCCTCTAAAAACATTACAAAAAGTAAACAGATTATTGTCTACCCCTGCTTATAACATCTAAGAGACAGTGAGCTCATATTAAAAGAAATATTTGAGAAGTTCTTGAGTATTCTGTCATTAAATGCTAGCTTTGGTTCTTGATGACAACGGAACCATCATATCAGCTCTGGGGTGCACACCCTTGACATCTATCTTATGTAGACCATTATTATTTAGGTTCTATTATAGGCAGTGAAACTTAAATATACTATGGGTTGCCCTCATGAATTCTTACTACCCACAGATGTTATAGTCACTGTTTTTGCAATTGAAGAAGCAAAGGTTCAGGGAGGCAAGTAATCAGCTTTGGGAAAAGCAAGGAGACACTATAACAATAGGACTGGAAAGAGACTGAGGCCGAATCATAGCAAATCCTCAATGTCCTCTGACCACTAATAGACAGTATCAGTGTTCAAGAAAGGTTTTCCTCATAGCTCTATGAGGGATAGAGTAAATTGTCATCAATTTAAAGATTATTATGTTAATCTATGCACAAGATAAAGAGTATGAGTAGAAATCTGCAGTCAGGTAAAAGTGACAAGACTTTGTGATCCATTGAATGTGATGTGGGAGCCAAGATAAATCATTTTTGGAGTACTGCTCCTTGATGTGATAAAAAAGATATCTAATAAGACTTAGTGCTCAGTTTTGTACTTTGAAAATATATCAGTTACAATAAATATATTAACATTGAACACTTGCAGAATTAAGTGCCATATTTTTTAGAAAATTTCCATAGCTTGTTCCCTTTGGTGTTAAAAATGCATGGGCACGGGCCCTGCCTTTTGACCGAAATTCCTTTGGACCAACTTTAACCAGTTGGCCTTCTCTTAATTATTAACACTTCCTGTTGTCTCTGACTTTTCTGTTTCACCTTCCTTGATAAGATACTTACATTTGCAAATTTATCCTATTTGATAACCTAGCCCATGCTTGTCACTGAGTCTACACATTTAGCCAGGAACACATGGGTTATCCTATTAGTGCAGACGGCTGCAGATACGAGAATTTTGGCCAGGTAATAATAAAGAAGTATACCTAGGCTCAAGCGGAACAGACCTAATGCTTTCCATGGCAAACTGATAATAGCAACAGTGGGTCCTATGGGTTGACGGAGGGAGGAAGCAGGAGGGCAAGCACAGAAGACAGCAATCTTGAGGGTTTGTGTAAGACAATTTGTGATAGGAAAATCAGAGTTTGAGTCTTGGGTCCAACAATTTATCTGCTATGTGATTTATGGTAAGATTATCAATGTTCTGATTTACAAAAGGGATATAATACCTCCAATGTAAAATTCCTTACATAGTAGGGGCTCCATTAATGTTTCTTGAATCTGAATTTTCTATTCTGACCAATTGACCATCAAATTGAACCAAAATGGGTCACAGCAATCATAAACATAAAAATTAGGAAGAATTCCAACAAGCTAAAAATTTTTAAATAAACAGCTTATGTTTTAAGATAAGATTAAATAATGCCAATATGTCTGTTGTTATCAATAGTATGAGGGCATGTTTAGTAAAAATGCTAAGAGCATAGTTTTTGGATTTGGAAAAATACATATAAAGAGTAAGTGGGAGTAAATAAGATTCTGAAAAAGAAGCCTAGGGAACTGATGAGACAGAAAGGTGGTGAGAAAATGCTCTAACAAATATTAAAACAACAACTAGAATAGTGAGATAGGTGAATGGGCACAGAAAACAGTGTATTCTAGTAGACCCTACCATTAAAGAATAATTCAAGATTAAAAAAGGACTTCCCATCAATCATATTCAACTTATAAGTTTGGGATTTAACAATTTGGAAAAAAACCTAAGTAATGTCTCACCTCATACCAGATGCACTTATAAAAAATAAAACTAGAAGGAAATAGAAACAGTGGTGGTTATTGAGACTGACATAAACATTGAAGAGACAGAAGAGATTACAAAGGTGGAGGCAAGTGCTGAAAGATCTGATTAAAGAAAAAACTGGCCAGAAATGGTCACGCTTATCATCAGCACTTTGGGAGGCTGAGATGGGATGAGATGGGAGGACTGCTTGAGCCCAGGAGGTTGAGACCAGCCTAGACAACACAGTGTGGCCCCCATCTCTACAAAACAAATGCAAAAATTAGGTGGGTGCAGTAGTTGCACGCCTGTCATCCTAGCTACTTGGGATGCTGAGGTGGGAGGACAGTTTGAGCCCAGGAGGTTGAGGCTGTAATGAGCTGTATGTAATCAGGCTTGGGCAGCAAAGCAAGACTCTCTTTAAAAAAACAAAAACAAAACAAACAAACGAAAAACCGTGCTCTAACCAACATAACTACAGCCGGAATGACAAAGTATTAGCACTACTCTATAATTCAAGGCTCATACAAATTGGCGGGTGGTGGCGGGGGTTGTTGCAGGGAAACCAACAGCTATTAAGCAAATTCCATGAGTTTATTATATTGGCACACTGAGGTTCTATATAAATAATTTTGGCAAGTTTGCTGTGATAGTTACAGGTTGGGATTTTTAGGTTAATATCTTTTATCTGAAGATGAAGATATACATATCTGCAGTAAAAAGAAACCAACAGTAGCTAAGGCAAAAACCAAATTGATCAACGTTGGTCATTAGATGCTTTTCTATAAATACGTATATTATTCAGTAATATAATGAAAAGTAAAAAAAAAATTTGGCTACTTTAGGAGGTATGTATATATATTATGTCTTCTGGCCTGTAGTGTTTACTGTTAGTAAGTTGATCAAAAGTAAATAAAAAATTCACACTTGAGTAAAAGGTTTCAAGAAGTACCAGGAAAGTGCACAGCTTATTTTTATTTATTTAAAAAAAATTATTTTTATTTTTCCAGGAGGCCCATTGTCACCAGAAAAGAAGTGTATAGTTTCTAACAGATTTATAAATTGGAAGTTGATTTTGCTCCTTTCAACATGCCTAATGAAATAAATAATCCAAACAGTATAAAGTTCTTCCTGCTCTCTGCCTCCTGCAAAAAGGTAAGCACCTAAAGTAGGCAAGCACTGAATAAATGGCTCTGGTCAGCACTGACAAATTAATTGCCTCTGGGAGGCTGAGCCAGGAGGATCACTTAAGGCCAGGAGGCTGAGACCAACCTAGGGAACATAGTGTAGAATCCTGTCTCTACAAAATAAAAAATAAGTAAAAAACAAAAAATTAGCTGGGCGCAATGGCTATGAATGAAAGCAAAATATAGACCTTTAGAAAATACTTTTATTTTCTTAACACACAGAGATAACAATGACATTTGCCCACTAGACAGAGTAGTTCAAGACATATCAGAAGTGGATTACAATTCACATGTTACAATATTCATAAATATGACCAGTCTCATGTTTTCCCAATTATCTTAGAAAAGTTATTAAAATACCACAGCATACTAAACTGGCAAATTCATTTCTCATGTTAAAGAGTAATTTTGATTTTGATTAGTGAAAAACCAAGGCATAGTCCATTGTTGAAATATAATAATACCTTATCCAGCATCACTCAAGTATGATGCATTCTACCTAAACGTTCTTTAGTCAAATGACACCTTTTAAAAATCTAATTTTGTATTTTAACTACCATAGAGGAAATAATGTTTAACATGCCTTCTTAAACTTTAAAATATACCATGCAGAATATAATAATGTTCTTTCATTAATCTTCCTCATTAGAAAGATGAACTACTTAGTTTTCTAGTGCAACACAATATCCTAAAAATTTACCAATGTGGGTATTTGCCTTACTAGAGATAACCCAAAATGACTACATTTAAAAAATTGTGAATTTTAATTATTTTGGTCACATTTAACTGTCAGTGATTACTTCGTGCTTTGGCTTAAATATGCTGGTTTTCTGTTACCTTTCTTACCTCCCTTAATATCAAAGTTAGGGTAGAGCAACAAAACTACATAAACCTTTGATGAACTAATGGTTCTCTCAAGGAAAGTCATTCCTTTTACCTGCACAGTTTAGAGAAGGTTATATATTGAGCAAGGAAGGAACTGAAGAAGAAAGGGAGATTTGGAAACCAGTGTGTTTATAGACAGTGGTCAGATTACTGTCACAACTGTCCTTAAATTTGTAGGATTTAATCTGTTTCAGTTTTGGAAACCAGAAAACTAAACTAGTTAAAACTATCTCTAAAGCAAGGTCAGCTTTGAAGAGGAGCAGGCAGATAATCATAAAGTAAATTACACGAGCTTTCAAGAATGGGTATTTGACATCTGAAGCATTTGTAAATTTTTGCTGCCCAGAAGTTTTATTTGCTGGTTTTCTCCTTTAGTTTTATTTCTTAGTCATAGTTAAGGTTTTTAAGTTAAAAAATGCTACTTTTAAAGTAGCATTATTTTAAAACACCATTATTTTATTAGCTATAAATGAGCCACTGAATATTATATAGCAATGAAAGAATTCTTGCAACTACTTTTTTCCAATTGAACGCACAATGATTTAACTGTTTTCTTAAGAAAACAGTAAAAAACAGTAAAAAAGTTCTATCTAGGAAATAAGTTCTATTAAAAAATGTGAACTCATATAAACGTTAAAAACCTTTTTCCTTTTGTGACTTTAAGATTTTTAAGGTATCTTAAAATAAGTTAACATGAAAAATTTCCAATGATTTTACTGAATTTAAGATATATACTGAATTAATACCCATATTTTTGTTAAGATTATTCTCAATGTTAAACTTGTCAATGTAGGTTCTGAGTTAATAGAAAACCAGTATCTACTATGATCTAGCAATAGATTTTTGAACATGAACTAAAGGTAGTTGAGTTTTAGAAAACTAATATAACATCCTTTTTTCTTTTTCTTTACAATTCTAGAAATATGACCAACCATTTCCATTTTGAAAATGTAAGCTATCTTATAATAGTAAACTAGAACTCAATACTAATTTTACAAAACTGTTTTCAGGAAATAAATTTCCTAATGCTTTGCCTGTTTCCCCACATAAGTAAATCATATAAAATATACTGTTGGCATTCATTATATTACACACAAATGAATATATCAGTGAAAAAATGAAAGCAGTTTGAACATCTGTGCTCCATTTAGGAACATATATTGTAGGTGGAAACTTCTATCATTCACCATTTATTAAATATTTATTAAATGCAGTGAGCATTGTATTAAGAATACTATAGTAAGTGGTGATAATATTAATGAACCACAGCCTATTCAGTATGTATTGTTACTGGAGATTATATATACCACAGTTAAAAGCTATCTTTCCATTTCTTTCATTATATTTTCATATTTTATTTTTATTTATGTACAAATAGAAGATTACATGATATTTCTTTTTCAAACTCTGGATTTCTAGGCATTTGAAGAATTCTTACTGAACTCAAACACATTTCATTGGTAATGATATTTCTTTCTGATTCAAATTGAAATCTACTCTGTACATTAAAAAAAATCAATGCTTTTACAATCTTACCTAATTGAGCATCAATATTATAATAAATGAGATTTTTAAAATGACTTGAGCCTGTGCATATAAGGCATTTACATATGATGGCCTTGCTTCCTATAACACAAGTAATTGCATACTTAATATCTGTAATCAACTATAAATCATAAAGTGTCTCAAGAATAGTAGAAATTGACCAGGCTTGTGTTTCACAGCTGAAAGGACAGTATTGGGCATTCTCATTGGTCAGTTCTGGAAGTCCTTTCCAAGGGGATCTGAATGAAAAAAAAAGACATTTTACAAAGACATGATTTAATACATTTTAACAAAATAGGCAAGACCTGGTGATTTTTGCCTTCTAGTGCAGAAAATAATCATATGTAGTCATTTGCTACAAAATAAAACAATATCCTAAAGACATACAAATGAATTTAGACTGAAATTATTCTTTGACATTCCATCTTTGGAATTTGAGACTTTTAAATACAAGGAATCCCTTTATGTATTAAAAACATAGAAGAAACTACCATTACAAGCTACATATAAATATAGAGATAAATACTCTCTCAGGCATAATTTTATTCCTTTTGGAGTAAGTTTATGAGACTCAAATTGTAATTATGCAGATGTGTCATGTGTGATCTTGATAAAACTGTAAAACTAAAAGTAATGAAGAAACACTAAGAACTACGATTAGGGGGGAAATGCCATTCCAGAGTACTTTCTACTTAAAGAAAAAAAATGCCAATCAATTTCTCATTCTACTGAATAATAAACTTAGTATTTATTATGCCTTTATATTCTAATACTAACTGCTTTACATATATTATCTCATTTAATGTTCACAGTAACCCTATAAGGTAGGCACCATAAGCATTCCTATCTATAGAGAGGTAAGAGAGATTTACAGAGGTTAAATAACTTGTTCCAGCCCTCTCTATCAGAACACAGTGATGTTAGTACATCAAATTTATTGTTAATTTCAATGTAATCCCTTAAAAATGAAACACGAATTTAAAAAGTACAGAAATCTGTAATGTTTCATTTTTAAGTTGGGTCGTGGGAACAGACTTGTTTCATTATTATGGTTTGTAACTCAGGGCTATATTACATACACGCTTCAGTGGGCATCAAATATTTCATAGTAAAAATGGGAAAAAATAACCCCATTAGGTAAAATAGGGTATTTTGGATAATAACTAATATCAGCTGGGTACTATATTTAAAAAAAAAGTCATAGAAACCTGGAAAATATAGAAAATGTATGTTTCCAAGTATTCAAGCTACATCAGAGTAAAATGCCAAATGACTGAAGCTGGATAACTGGGCATCTGTAATGTGTTGAATTGTATTTCCACAGAATTTGTATGTTGAAGTCCTAGCCCCCAGTACCTCAGAATGTGAACCTGTTTGGAAATTGGGTCACTGCAGATGTAATTAGTTAAGATAATGCCACATGAAGATTGGAGTTTTGCTGCCACAAGCCACAGGATTATCAGCAGCTAAGAGAGAGGGCTGGAAGAGACCTTTCCCTAATGCCTTCAGAGGGAGGATGGCTCTGTCCATGCCTTGATTTTTCAGATTTCTGGCCTCTAGAACTCTGAGACAATATTCTGCTGTTTAACAATTTCTATTATTTAAGTCACTCAGTTTGTAGTGCTCTGTTACTGCAGCTCTAGCAAACTAACAGACTACCAAAATTAAAAAACAAAATGAGGTTACAAAACCATGAATATGCTGCCCATAATTAGACTTGGACACTAGGACATGGAATGTGTCCATACAAATATAAGGAAGTCCCTTTTCCCTTGCTTTCCTGAAAAATTCATCCTGAAGTCATTAGGTGGGACAGAGCATGGCAGGTGACCACAAATGGAGAGGAAAGGGTAATAGGTAGTATAGAGCAGGATGTTAGAGTTCAAGAGGTATGAAGAGGGAGTTCACCAAGGGTGAGAGTGGTCCCGAGTGGGCAGTTACAAACCAAGTGGTGTCAGGAGGGCTCCACACATACAGGCGACTTAGTGTGGGGTATCAGGCCGAAGCTGGGTGAGCAGACTGTATGTGGTGGTGACAGCCCAATGTGGGAAGTAGGTTATTAATTGTTGGAAAACGGAATTACAAATATAGAGAGGGAGAAAAATAGAATTAAACAGTGAGCAATAGATTGGAACTGGTGTAAACTCAGGTTTTCAATATACATAGGATACATTGAAATGAAGATACATGTGTATGTATTTACCTATATTTATGCATTATTATTACATATTCCCTAGCCCTATCTACTGGGGGGCATAGTAATAATCAATACACCATGTGTTCCGATCTAGCTTCTAAATAACATTTTTCACTATAAAGAGCAAGGGCTCCTTAGAGAATTGCCCAATTCCAGGCTGGGGTAGTGAAAGCAAAAGATGAGTCTTGAAAACCTTGCTGGGCCAGAAAGCAAGGAAGGACTTCCATACATGACAAACAGGAAGTAGTATGGACAGAAATTTCCCTCCTGTCTGATACAAATGAAGAACTGGACATTAAGACATTAGACATTAGGCAACAAATAGTGATCCTTGAGGAATGAGAAACAAATGAAGCAAACCCTATGATTACCATACCTTACTGCCTTGAGAATTTCCGGGATTTGGCACAGAGAGGGGGAACACAGGTGGAGCCTGGCAGACTTCCTTGAGTTGAACTGAGAATCCAGGAACACTATAAAGCAGCTACAATTTGCAGGATAGAGTACTAGAGAGGAGGGAGCTGTACAAAGAGAGAACTCTGAAGATATGCAGAGGGTCCCACTCAAGTATCTGTAGTGTACCAACCAGCAAATTCACAAGAGGAAACAACCAAAGAACAAGGAAAGAACCATCCAAAAGGATGAGAAGAAGCAGTACATGGCACTCACATAGTGTTGGGAACACTTGCTTGTTCCCATCAGGCAGATTTGAAAACGTCATAATTTTTGAAATACAGGCTAGAGAACACAGATAGGTCTTGATTCACTAATAGAGAATAATTATTCCTAGACCAAATCCTATTCCGGTCAGGTCTAATAAGCTTAAAATCAAGACCGGAAAGGATCAAACTCTTTCCAAGTAATTTCACTGCATTCCAAAACAAAGCTCAAAAACATTTATAGAAACACCAAAAATCTAGCACCCAACAAGGCAAAATGCACATCTGGTATCTAATAAAAAATAACCAGGCAAATGGCTGGGTGTGGTGGCTCATGCCTGTAATCTCAGCACTTCAGGAGGCCGAGGTGGGAGGACTGCTTGAGCCTAGGAGTTTAAGACCAGCCTGGGCAAGATAGCAAGACCGCTGTCTCTTCAAAAATCAAAAAACAAAAACTACCAGGCAAAGAAGCAGGGTGATCTGACCCATAATAAAGAGAATACTCACAAGCAAAAGCAACCCAGAAATGTTCAAAACATTAAACAGACATGGAAGATATAAAGACGACCCAGATAAGAGAAATGAAAACTACAATGTGTGAAATGAAAAACACCAGGATGGATGTGATGGTAGGTTAGACATAAAAATGTTAGCAGATTTCTTATCAAAACGATGTAACCACTTTAAAGTATGAAAGAGAGAAAGCTTAACTTTGAATTCTATACTCAGTGAAAATATCTTTAAAATAAAGGCAAAACACATCTGTTTTTACACTTACAAGAATTGAAAGAACTCATCATGAGGAGGCAAACACTACAAAGACATGATGGAAAAAGTCCTTCGGGTAGAAGGAAAATGATACAAGATGGAAATACAGAACATCACAAAAATATGAAGAGCACTGAAAATGGCAACTACAAGAGTAATTAGACTTTTTAATGTATTATTTAAAGATCATTAAAAAATAACTGACGGCCTAAACAAAAGTAGTAGCCATGTAGTGTGGGGGGTTATAACATGTAAAAGCAAAATGGATGACAATAATAAGCACATAGGCCAGGAGAGGAAAAATGAAACTATACTATTTTAAGGTTCTTTATACCTTACTTGAAGTGGTAAATCACTGGAAGGTAAACTATAAAGACATATACTATAAACCTAAAGCAACCATTTTAAATAAACAAGAATTATATCTAATTAGCCAACAAAGGAGATTAAAATGAAATAATATTCAATGCAAAAGAAGCACAAAAAGAGGAAAAAGCTAACAAAAAACAGACAGAATAAATAGACAACAAACACTTAAATTTCACAATTTCAGTAATGTAACCTTAAATGTAAATGGTCTAAATATTCCAAAAGCCGAAACTGTCATGCTACAGGAGAGCAAGACCCGATTACATGCTACTATGTACAAGAAATCCACTTTAGATACAAAGACATAAATAGGTTAAAAGGATGATAAAATCTATACCATGGTGACAACCAAACAAAAGAAACCAGGAGTGGCTCTATTAATATGAAATGCACAGAAGTCCCTTATGTGCTTGTAAGAAAGGAGATGAAATTTGTGCTGCTTATTCATAATTTGAGGAATAGAACATAGATATACTTATGTATAATATAAAATTTGGGAAATTAAGATACCCTCTGAATTTATACTATCTTATAAAGATATGTAACTCTGACACTGTCTATTTGCTAATAATTAGGACAAGGAAGTGAAAAATGGTTTTTGAAATAACAGGCAAAAGACCAACTCTGATATTTTAACTATAATGAAAGCATTTCTGAAAACTATTTCTTGATATATCTTTAAATCAATTAACTCAAAAGGCCCAGGGTGAGTACCTTAAATTTTTATATTTATCCTGTGCTAACCATATCCAAAAACATCAGGAAAATTAAAAAAATCAAAATTCCACATGTATAAATCACACAATATCAAGACCTCAACTTAAAATAAATAACCTAAAATAAGAGAAAGTGAAAATTATATAACAGAATTTGTCATGTTAAAGAATAAAGGCTTCACTTTTCATTGGGATACCTAGGGCATATAGAAATCAATTCTAAGAAACTGTAATTTACCTAATAGCTAGTAAACCGACTAAACACTAGTTATGGAAATTACATGCTGCTGATGACTTACCTCTCAAGATGAACATAGTGTCGGGAAAGAACATTTTTAACCAAAACTATAGTCTTTGCAGTAGTCTCCGGGCCCATCAATCTGGAAAAATATAATTTTGCACGAAGAAAATATCCAATAGGCCACAGCCACTCCTAAAAAAGATTATTCAAAAGTAAAGACAAAAAAAAAAAACAAATCCATAAATGTCTAAAAATTACTTGAAAAATAATTTAAACTGAAACTCAGAAGATAAATGAAATTCTTACAGGTCCTTGGTGATAATTGAAACCTTTTGCAAGATTGTAGTTGTCATTGTCTAATGCATTGTCATAAATTCCACAGTAAACCATATCACTGCAAAATGATTAAAATTTAAGTTAAATAAAAGATGATCAGATATTACAGAGAAAGCACTGAAAAATTTCAATAACAAAGGTAAGAGAAATTAATTATTTTGTCTTCTAATCTACAGAATAAGCTCAGCATTAGTGCATCATTTATCTAACCTTAAATTAGTACATACTGAGTTCACAGGACTTTAATCATGTGTTAAAAATGATTAACAAATACTGGTTAATATAAAAACTGTAAAATATTCTGGTATCTTGCCTTAAAAGAAGCTAGCCTGGCACTAAATATGGGTTGGTTTGAAGTCAACTATTTCCTAGGCCTCTAATATATGGAGGCCTGTCTAATAATTGAAATATACACAGAATAATTTGAATTAGTAAAAATTAAAGACATGGTTTTATTAATTATAGATTGGAAAGGTAGTTTTTTTTTTTTTTTTTTTTTTTTTTTTTTTTTTTTTTTGAGACGGAGTCTCGCTCTGTCGCCCAGGCTGGAGTGCAGTGACCGGATCTCAGCTCACTGCAAGCTCCGACTCCCGGGTTCACGCCATTCTCCTCCCTCAGCCTCCGGAGTAGCTGGGACTACAGGCGCCCGCCACCACGCCCGGCTAATATTTTGTATTTTTTAGTAGAGACGGGGTTTCACCGTGTTAGCCAGGATGGTCTTGATCTCCTGACCTCGTGATCCGCCCATCTCGGCCTCTCAAAGTGCTGGGATTACAGGCTTGAGCCACCGCGCCCGGCCGGAAAGGTAGTTTTTAAGCTTCTCCATAAAATTATTTTAAAATTAAAATTGGCTTATTATCAGGCTACAAATAGCAACTGAATATACATATTGCTTTATTATAATACATAGAAGTTAAAACACAGTTATCTATACTCCATTTGTTACTTTTTTTGGAGAGCTGGCCACAAGAGTAAGCTTTAATTGTGGGTTTTGGTGTGTGTGTGCGTGCATGTGTGTTTTAATACAGTGTCTCATTCTGTCAAGCAGGCTGAAGTGCAGTGGTGCCATCATAGCTCACTATAGCCTTGATCTCCTGGCTCAACTGATACTCCTGCCTTAGCCTCCTGAGTAGCTAGGACTATAGGTGTACACAATCTCTCCTAGATAATTTGTTTTTAATTTTTATTTTTGTAGAGATGGCATCTCTACAAAAATTTTTGCCCTGGCTTAAAAAAAAAAAAAAAGTAGGGTTGATGTCAATGTATTTGGATTAAATATAATATCAACAACATTCTTAATACTTATATTCCAACTTACTCTGGATCTAAAGTTTTCATGCCAAGGGGACCAAGCAATTTTTTTTCTGCAATCTCCAAAGCTTTCCATGCTTTTGCTGTAGTAAAGAGCTCAGGGGCCTAGTGAATGCCAAAAACAAATATATAAATTTTTAAGATCACAGAACAATTAGTTCCTACCCACAGAAACTATTCATAAACTTGAAAAAAAATTACTTAAAATACAGTGAGGGTCAGAATTTGAGTGTAGATACCTAACCAGATCTAATCCTATGAGCCTGACTTAGAAGGACTGTTTTTGGCCATAGAAGTTAGGATAGCTTTTAGAGGTGATTATTTCTCTGTCACCTCAAGAAAGTTACTCAGCTCTAAAAGGAAGTTGCCACAGCTACACTGAAGGCAGAACACACTTTTATTTTAACCCCTTTGGAGACAGGGTCTCCCTCTGTCACCAGGCTGGAGTGCAGTGGCGAGATCAGAGCTCAGTGCAGCCTCAATCTCCTGGGACCAGGCGATTAGCCTCAGCCTCCTGAGCAGCTGGGACTACAGGCTAATATATATTTTTTAAATTTTTGTGGAGATGAAGTCTCACTGTGTTGCCCAGGCTGATCTTGAACTCCTGAGCTCAAGCAATCCTCCCACCTCAGCCTCCCAAAGTGTTGGAATTACAGGCACGAGTCACTGAACCCAGACAGCACACACTTAAATGTATGTAATTCATTCTTCGTCGAGTTTGTAATAGCTTTCTTTAAGTACATCTGATACCCATTTTTTGCTTCTGGGGCCATAAATAAATACAGAACTTTTACTCCAATAGCATGAGTAAATTTACTTGAGATACAAAGAAGAGAGAAAGCATTGTTGACCAAGAATATGCATTCATTTCAATGGTTAAATAAAATCAAGTGCACACTGAACCAAAGCTACCTTTGTGTACTTTTATACTTTTCATTCTACTATAATTTAGAGTACTAGGTTTGGTACTCTTTTTGACAATGTGAAAACAGCTAGGCAGGCATAGAAGAACACATACCTTCTCTATTTTACTTCCTTATAGTTTATTTTTAGACTAAAGTATAGATTTAAAAAAGGAGAGAATCTAGAATTCTTTGCTAGACAAAACTAATTGCAGCAATGCAACAAAGAAAACAGGATGTTAATTGAAGCTATCCACTTTAGTTCACTAGTTCAGGGCTTTCTAACTAGTGTGCTGAGGCACTGGTTAGAGCACAGGTGTGTAGGATACAGAGACCCTCAGCTTTCAGGGCAGCTGGGTGGGGCCTGAGGCTAACTGAAGTAGCTGGATCTAGCACAAGCAGCCTCCTGCATGTAGCCTATTGTGCTATACAAATATCATTTTCTTTTCTTTTCTTTTTTTTTAAATATGGAGGTGGGGCCTCATTATGATATCCAGGCTGGTCTCAAACTCCTGGGCTCAAGTGATCCTCCTGCTTTGGTCCCCAAAATGGGATGACAGGTGTGAGCCACTGCATCTGGCCACAAATATCATCTTCTATGTGTGCTCTGAATGTGAAAAACTCTAGGAAGCACTTCATCAGTCATCATCCATTATTCTCTGTTCTTGGATACTGAATGTTACAGGTCAAAGGTGATACGCATAATACCTGATGAATTAGAAAAGACTATTTAAAACTAGCTAGTAAGCAATATACTACTTTTTAGCCATTAAGTGAATTCGAAAACAAATGGGAATAAGGAACCAAGCAAACGCTAGCACATCATTTTCTGAAATGTTTTTACAAACGGATCACCTACCACAACCATTGCTATAGTAAAATTAGGCCTGAGCTGATAGTCACACCAGGGACTTGAAGCTCCATAACTATCTTTGTATATGCCACGTTTGTGAACCAGATTTGGATGCTTTTCATTTAAATCTGAAGGGTCTTCTGAAACATGAAATAGCTTTTCAAAGTTGTCTTGTATTTTTCTGTTCCACTCATCATATGAGACCTTTACAACCTTTCCTGAAAAATGACATAAGACATGGTAGTTTTAATCATTCAAAACAATTCACACATCTAGTTACAGACAAACAGTAATAGTTTATTTTTATCTACTACAAGGCAATGAATTATCCACTTTTGGAAAATGTGGCCAGACTGAATTGAGATGTGTTATAAATGTAAAATATAAGCTGGATTATGAAGATGTAGCACCACTAAAAAGAACGTAAAATAGCTTATGAATAATTTTATATTGATTACATGTTGAAACAATATTTTATATATGTACACTGAGTTAAATAAAATGCCTTTTTTTTTTTTTAAGACAGGGTCTGGCATTGTCCACCCAAGCTGGAGTGCAGTAATATGAACTTGGCTCACCACAACCTCTGCTTCCTGGGCTCAAGCCATCCTCCCCCCTCAGCCTCTCAAGTAGCTGGGACTACAGCCTTACATAACCACACCCTGCTAATTTTTGTATTTCTTGTAGACATGAGGCTTCATGTTGCCCAGGATGGTCTCAAATTCCTTAGCTCAAGTGATACACCTGCCTTGGCCTCCCAAAGTGTAGCGATTACAGGCATGAGCCACTGTACCTGGCTGATTTAATAAAATATCTTGTAACCAATTTAACCTGTTTCTTTCTACTTTTTAAAATGTGGGTACTATAAAATTTAAAATTACGTATGTGGTTCACATTATTTTGGACAGCACTATTCTAGAAAAAGACATGTAAAGATTGCAAAATTGCTCACAGAAATGCAACTTGTTCAGTCACACTGAGGAAAAAGACAAGCACAATAAAGGCAATAGCTATGCTGCTTTCTTATCTCAGTTCAAAGTTGCTAAAAATATGGTCCAACTAGAATTGTTACAATTTTCACACTAGTAAATGAATTTTCTTTCTTCTTAATTTTAAGGGTTTCCCAATATTAGCTGATTGAATCAAATGATTACATAGGTTGAGAATATGCATAGTACATTTGAAGGTTCTTTGTAAATAACCATCTTACCATGTCTTTTTACTGTGACTTCATGATAAGGGAAAATATTTTTTTTGGATAATTCCAGCAACCAGCGAACAGCAGATTTACTCAGTCCCACAATTTCCACAGCAGACCCATCTCTAAAATTAAAAAACATATTTTTATTCTCTAAGTTGGAGTCCTTTAAGTACTATTTAAAGGGCATTCAGTAAACAATTGTAATGAATCATATAACTAACATATTATGAAAACTATTAAAAAATCCTTACTCTATAGGAATGTGTACTATATCATTAAACATTTTTTCCTCTCAGTGTTTTGCCATTGTCTGTCATCCTCACATGTTTTTTAAAAATTCTATGATGTAGAATGGGAATTGTGGAATAAAAGAAGGTGGAAGTTGGAAAAGGTAGGACTAAGGAATCTGAATATTGGGATAAGGTACTAGAGAAAAGATAGCAAACACGAAAAATAGGGCTGGAGAAAATGAGGGAAGGCAGACACATTAATCTGAAAGCTCATTTTTAAGAAAAATAAAAGGGAAGTACAAGATCTAATGTACCAAAATAAATAATTTTAAAAAATTGGTAAAGCATGTAAAGATAGTAACTTATTTATTAATTTTTTTTTTGTAGAGATGGGGCCTCACTATGTTGCCCAAGCTGGTTTTGAACTCCTGGGTCCAAGCTATCCTTCCACCTCAACCTCCCAACCTCCCAAAGTGTTGAGATTACAGGCGTCAGCTACCACACCCAGTCCACAACTATTAAATTTTTTGGACAATTCTTACTGAAGATAAAACTTAGAATAAGAGGCTGAGTGCGGTGGCTCATTCCTGTAATCCCAGCACTTTGGGAGGCTGAGGAGGGTGGATCATTTAAGGTCAAAAGTTTGAGATCAGCCTGGCCAACATGGTGAAACCTTGTCTCCACTAAAAATACAAAAATTAGCCTGTGTGGTAGTGAGCACCTATAGTCCCAGGTCCTTGGAAGGCTGAGACAGGAGAATTGCTTATATCTGGGAGGCAGAGGCTGCAGTGAGCCATGATTTGTGCTACTGCACTATAGCTTGGGCAACAGAGTGAGGCTCTCTTTCAAAAAAAAAAAAAAAATTAGAATAAGAAATTAACTTCTCAGCTTAATACAGTATCAGAAGCTCTTTTAATAGACATTACTTAATGGGTACAAAGTACATTATTTGGGTAATAGTAATATTAAAAGCTATTTTAATAGCATCTGATGTTAAGCATTTGAAATCATAAAAACTTCTTAAATGACAAACACTAGGAAAAAAGATTTAAAAAATTAGGAGGAAAAAAGGTTCAGAAAGTGAAAGAATTTCATAAAAGACGGAACAATTGGTTGTTTTCCATGTTTGCAAAAGATGGGCATAATGAAATGTTTACATCAATAAGCAGTTCAGGTTACGAAAATGTCTTAACCACTGGGATAATGAAACAGAAATCTTTCCTTTGAGGTGCTTGTAGAGAATCAATCCACGAGCACTTACAGAAAAGAACAGATAGTGTTACTTGATAACTTATATCAAGAGGATTGTGTGCATGGACAATGGGGAGATGAAGGGAGGAAGGCAGGGGCATTTTGATTGACTTAATATAAAGAGTTCATAGTTAACAGAATAAAAGACTCCACAAGTATGTGCTTTTTTAAAAAAGGGTATAATTACACAGCACTATAAAATTAACATTACCTTGGTGTGGCTGGGATTCCTGTGTTTCTAGCTCTGTCACTTTCTCCCATTTTATCCATCCATGTGCCACAATTGAAACGATTTCCTCCATAAACAAATCCTGTTTCTTCATCAACTCCTGCAGTTACATTAAAACCTAAAAAACAAAACATGTATAAAACAAAATTTTTATAAGTATTATATACAGTATATATAAATATTTTAAAACATGTACAAAATTTTAAAAATAATAAACTAGGACAACCACTCTGAAGCTCAGTTTGGTGATATCCTACGATTTTGTATCCAGAATATACAAAGCACAAAGTTGGAGATATGCATATTCTACCACATAGGAATTTCATTTCTATATATATTCTAGAGAAACCCTTATTTACGTGCACATGGAGATGTGTACGAGGATATTCACTGCCACATTGCTTGCATTCACAAAAAATAACTGCTCAGTAGAGGAATGGATAAACACTGTAGTTTATTCATACAATGGGAAACTCTCTATAACATTTGAAATTAATGAACTGGATTTACATGTATCAAAATGGATGTCAGAGCTAAATAATATATGTACATGGACATAGAGTGTGGAATAATAGACACCAGAGATTCAGAAGGGTGAGATGAGAGTGACAGATGAGAAACTACCTAATGGGTACAATGTGCATTATTTGGGTGATGGTTACACTAAAAGCCCAGACTTCACCCTTGCCCAACACATCCATGTAACAAAACTGCCCTTGTACTCCTTAAATTTATACAAAAAAGATAAATCTCCAAAACAAAATGGTTGAATAAAACAAGTTGCAAAAGGACATATATAGTGAGATAACATTTTTGTAAAAGTTTAATCATAGATAATACTGGTATATCTAATATCTGTGTATAATTTCAAAACATAAATTATTGATTATAGGACACATTATAGTACACTGAATATACGCTATGTAATATATAGCTTAAGTAATTTACACATACTCAAACACACATAAGTACACAAAGTACAAAAACTTCTGGTATGAAAAAAGGGAGAAGACTCATTTTTCCCTGATCTTCCTCTCTTAAGAACAATGAAAATCCCTGAGCGTAATACAGTGGACTGTCATAAGAGGACTCTAAAAGTGTAAAGAGGAAGGCAGATTGGCTAGAAACCTCAAGACTTGAGGAATGTCATAGTGGTGAGTTCCCCGGGTTTTTTTTCTTTTTTTTTAATTCTCCATATATACCAGTCTGGGTGAGATGTTGCCTTGGAAAAGCAACCTGCAACCTTCAACAGGTAATGACAAAAAGTTCCAAGAAAAACCAATTGATTCCAGCCAAAGGAAAAGGAAAGAGGGACCCTAACCAGAGAGAAACCTTTATGACAACACCCTATGCCAGCAAATACCATGGATGTCCTTTCTCCCTGGAATGTCAGTGGAGACTGAGTGGAAGCCTGGACTTCTATCCCCTACCTGGGGGTAGCAGATGGCTCAAGGCAGTGCTCCCCTTCCTCAGCAGCGTGGTACCCGCGGACACTACGAGGGGAATCTGGGGAGTCTGAACTTCCACTCCCAACCTGGCAGCAGTAGGTGGCCTTCGGGCGGCAGCAGGCAGCCCAGGGTGTTTCCCACCCCTGCTGCATGATGTTAGCACAAACTGGGTGGGGAGTATGGACTTCTACCCCCGGTGGGAGCAGGTCGTTAGGGACAGTGCTCCCTTCTCCTGACAGCATGCTGCCAGCAGAGACTGAGTGGAGAGTCTGGATTTCCATGCCCTGCCCAGCAGTGATGGGGTGCCCCTCACACTCCAACTAGAGATTTCAGGGAAGATCTGAAGAGGAGGAAGCTGCAAAAACGATGCTTTAAAGCTGTATAGGAAGGCCTGGGCAGACTCTGACCAATCTACATGTGAAACAGATGAGAATTAACACACCCAAAGAGAAGAGAAGTAAACTACACAGTGTGAAATTCCACTCAGGTTTCCTGAGTGGCCTCCTGATAGCCCATGAATGAAGTAAACCAGAATAACCTTGCTAAATATTAAATTGTCATTGAAACCACAGCCCACAAGAGTGGGCCAGAAGCTGCATACTAAACTCAAATAACGGCTACCTGGTAAAATGAAAGATTTCACAGGATCCAGTGTCCTATAACATAATATCCAAAGGCCTAGGAAAACATGAAAAACTACTTGTCAGGCCAAGAATTAGGAAAAATCACAACCTGAATGAGAAAAGGCAATTAACAGGTGACAACACTGAGGTGACTCAGATGTTGGAAATATCTGACAGAAAAGCTTAAGGGAGGTATCATAAAAATGCTCCAAAGAGAATGATGCTTTGTAGAAACAGAAAACTCCATCTTAAAATAAATATGGAATTTCCAGGGACCTTGAATAGCCAAAACAATCTAGAAAAAGAACAAAGTTAGAAGACTCATGCTTCATTTCAAAACTTACTAAAAAGCTACACTAATCAAAACAGTGTGGTTCTGTCATAAAGACAGACACAGAGGTCTATGGAACAGAGAACCCAGAAATAAACCCTGTATATATAGTCAAACGTTTTTTGACAAGGGTGCCAAGACCATTCAGTGGGGAAGGGACAGCTGTTTTTTTTTTGGCAAACAGAGCTGAGTAAACTGGATATTCACATGTAAAAAAAATTGACTTGGATTTAATATCGTATACAAAAACTAACTCAATGTGGATCAAAGACCTAAACATAAGAGTTAAAACTATAAAATTATTAGACAAAAATGTATGGCAAAAGCTTCATGACACTGAATTTGATGAGGCTTTTTTGCATATGATACAATAGGCACAGGTAACAAAAGTAGATAAACTGGACTTAATCAAAATCAGAAACTTTTGTTTATCAAAGGATACTTTTAAGACAGTGAACAGACAACCCACAATATGGGAGAAAATATTTGCAAACCATATCTAATAAGTGTTTCATACCCAGAATATACAAAGCACCCTGCACCTCAGTAACAAAAGAACTCATTTCATTCCCTAAATTTCAAAGGATGTGAATAGACATTTCTCCAAAGAAGATATATGTATGCCTATAAGCACATGAAGAGATGCTCAACATCACTAAGAAATCATTAAGGAAATGCAAATCAAAACCATGAGATACCACCTCCTAGCCACTAGGATGGCTACTAGTGGGGGGGAGAAAAAAACCAAGCAAAACCAGAAAAGTATTGGTGAGGATATAGAGGAATGGAAGACTGTTTACTATCAGTAAGAGTGTAAAATGGCACAGCCACTGTGGAAGACAATGTGGTAGTTCCTCAAAAAGGTCAACAAACAATTATCACATGATCCAGCAAGTTCTCTTCTAGGTATATACCCAAAAGAATTGAAAGCAGGGACTCAAACAGCTATTTGTACACCAACGTTCACAGCAGCATTATTCCCAATAGCCAAAAGGTGGAAACAACCCAAATGTCCATTGACAGATGAATGGAAACACAAAATGTGGTATGTACATACAATGGAATATATTAAAAAGGAAAGAAATTCTCATATGTATGATAAGAGGTTAATATCCAGAATATATAAGAAACTTCTACAAGTCAATAACCAAAAAACCAAAAACCAATTAAAAAATGGGCAAAGTGCTTGAATAGACAATTCTCCAAAGAAGACCCATAATTGGCAAACAAACATATAAAAAGATGCTTAACACTTCTAATCATTAGGGAAATGCAAATCAAAACCAGAATGAGATATCACCTCACGCCCATTAGGATGGTCACTATCAAAAGAACAGAAAATACCAGGTGTTAGCAAAGATGCAGAGAAATTCGAATAGTTGTGGGAATGTAAATGTTGCAGCCATTATGGAGAATATTATAGAAGTTTCTCAAAAATAGAAATAGAATAACATACGATCTAGCATTCCACTTTGAGTATATATACATAAAAATGAAAGCAGGATATTGAAGAGATATTTGCATACGCATGTTAACTGCAGCATTATTCACAAGAGCCAAGAGATGGAAACAATAAAATGCCCATTGACAATGAATGAATGAAGAAAATGTATGCACACAATGGAATATTATGCACTTTGAAAAATAAGGGAATCCTGTCACATGCTATGAGATGGAGATGAACCTTGGCATTATGCTAAGTGGAAAAAATCAGTCACAAAAGAACAAATACTGCATGATTTCATTCATATAAAGTATCTAAAGTAGTCAAAATCATAGGGACAGAAAGTAGAAAGGTGGTTACTAAGGCATGGGAAGAGTGGGGATGGAGGAGGAGGAACTAGTATTTCATGAGTATCGAGTTTGTTTTGCAAGGTAAAAAAGTTCTAGCGATCTGTTCCACAACAATGTTAATATATTTAACACTACTGAATTGTACATTTGAAAATGGCTAAGGTAAATTTAAAGTTATGTGTTTTTTATCACAAAAAGGACAAAAAAAGGAATAAAATTCTGACATCTGCTACAACATGGCTGAACTTCAAAAGAATTATGCTAAGTATGTACAACTCTTATGTATTGATAAAAATATAATTATGCTAAGTGAAATAAGCCAGGTACAAAAGGGCAAAGACTGTATGATTCCACTTATATGAGGTCCCTAGGATAACTGAATTTATAGAGACAGAAAGTAGGATAGTGGTTCCAGGGGCTGGGGAAGGAGATAATGAGGAGTTACTGTTTCAATTAGGAATGATGACAAAGTTCTGGAGGTGGACAGTGATGATGGTTGCACAACAATGTGACTGTACTTAAAGCCACTGAACTGTACACTTAAAATGGCTAAAATTGTAACTGTTATGGTAAAATGGTAAATATACATTATGTCTATTTTACCACAATAAAAAAAAAATAGTAAAACAACAACAATAACAACAACAACAAAAAAAGAGCACTCCAATTATACAATTATAAAATGGACAAAATTTACAATTATAAAATGGATTGGGCTCAGTGGCTCATGCCTATAATCCCAGCACTTTGGGAAGCCAAGGCAGGGGGATTGCTTGAGGTCAGGAATTCAAGACAAGCCTGGGGAACATAGGGAGACCCCCATCTCTACAAAACAATTTAAAAAAGAAATTAGCCAGGTTCAGTGGTGCACACGTGTAGTCTCAGCTACTTGGCAGTCTGAGGCAGGAGGACTGCTTAAACCCAGGAATTAGAGGTTGAGTGAGGTATGACTGCACCACTACCATCCAGTTTTGGTGACAGAGTGGGACCCTGTCTCTGAAAAATAATAAAGAAAGAGACAATGTGCAAAATATGTGAACCGACATTTCAGCAAAGAGGGAAGATGGATGGCAAATGAGCACATGAAAAGATATTCCACACCATTAGCCATTAGGGAAATGCAAATTAAAACCACAATGTCCAGCCTGGCCAAAACATGGTGAAACCTCATCTCTACTAAAACAACAACAACAACAACAAAGAATACAAAAAATTAGCCAGGTGTGGTGGCATGCACCTCTAGTCCAGCTACTCTGAAGTACAAGAATCGTTTGAACCCAGGAGGCGGAGATTGCAGTGAGCTGAGATTGCGCCACTGCACTCCAGCTGGGGGACAGAGCGAGACTCCATCTCAGACCGCCCCCACCCCACCACACACAGTTGGTAGTGGTCATGAAGCTATCAGAACAGCTTAAAAGAAAGGGGTACCACCATTTATTAAAATGGTAAAACACTCTGGAAAATAGTTTGGCAGTTTCTTCTAAAACAAAACATATACTTACTATATGAACCAATTCCATTCTTGGACATTTATCCCAGAAAAAATGAAAACCTGTGTCCCACAAAAACTTGTACATGAATATTCATAGTAGCTTTACTTGTATTAGCTAAAACATGAAAACAACCCAAATGTCCTTCAATGGATGAATGGTTTGGATGAATGGTTAAATAAATACTGGTATATGCATAAAAGGGAATACTACTCAGCAATAAAAAGGAATAAACTATTGATAAATGCAACAACTTGAATGGATCTTAAGGGTATTATGCACAGTGAAAAAAATCAATCTTAAAAGGTTATATAGTATATGGTTTCATTCATATAACATTCTCAAAATGACAAAACTATAGAGTCGCAGAACAGATTAGTAGCTGCCAGAGACCAGGGTTGGGGGTGGAGTGGTTAGGTGTGACCACAAAAGGGTACACAAAGATCTTTATGGTGATGGACCAGTTCTGTATCTTGATTATGGCAGTGGCAACATGAAGCTATACATGGGGTCAAATTGCACTCATCTACACATACACATACACACACATGTGAATGTAAAAACTGGTAAAAGTTGAAAATATACTGATGTCAGTCTCCTGATTTTGATACTGTACTGGGTGAAGAGTTCATGGCATACTATGTATCATTTTTTCAACTTCTTATGAGTCTAATCTTTCAAAATTATAAAGTTTAAAAAACCCACATGAACATAAAACAATGCATGTTTTACAAAATAATATACAATAAACCATTGGAATGACTAAGGGGAATGGGGAATAAAATGAAATAAATTACTATTAGCCTTGCATTGGCAGCAATGATAGTGTGCCATGAGATGAGGAACATTACAAACTCAAGAGAAGTTAGAAAAGCACATTTATTTTAATACGACATACAAACAAACCTTTTTACAAAAAGTATTTTATAAGTGCCTAGGCTCTTGAGACAGACCATGAGTAAAGCCTACCTCTACCACTTAGTAGCTATGTGACTCTGGGCAAGCTACTCTGCTTCAGTCTTCATTTAGTAAAAATGGAAACAATATCACTCATTCCCAATGTTTTGGGGAGTGTTAAATGGTAATAACATAGGTAAAGTAGTCACCACAATGCCTAGCACATAGTAAGCATGCAGTTCAGTTCATGGTGATCATTATAGTTATAAATGAAACCACCAAAATTATCTTTCAAATTGGCTGACAAAAGACATAAAATTTTATCTTTCCTCTAGAAACTACAAACTTGGTGAGATCAGGAACTATGTTAATCTTTTTCATCATTATACTGTGAGGTTTGGCTTACAAATAAATATTTATTAAGTGAACAATTACAAGGTTTAATTTCATCATCTCGATAAATGTGTACTATTTTAGTTAAAGTTCTGTACCTTCATCCTTCATGTTTCGATCTATCTTGGGACCAGCATTCCTTTCTCGGAACTGTATGCCCTGCATGTGTCTTTGCATTGCTTCCTGTATGACTTCAAACAATGGCTGATCCTGTTTGAGACATAATTGGGTGTTACCTCTGTTCAAAATTACATTTTTCTTATTTTCCCCCAAATCTGACAACTGAAGTAATGTGAAAATATATAGTTTCATTTGGAGTGAGAAATAGGAATTGGGTGAGGCCAGGGTAGAAGCAGCTCCTATATACCAAATAATACAGATGAGCATACTAATATTTAACATCAGTAGTTTTGACTATTCATGTCTGTGACATAAAATAATCTGTTGATATACAAAAATGAATCTAGAGAGCTTGTACAGTTTCTATTAAAGAGATCTGTTCAGCTAATAAATGAACCTAGCTTGTTATCCAGCTTCTGAATTTTAAATTGGCATTGCTATTCTTGCTCATCTGCATACATAGGTAATGGGGATAAATTATGTGCTAAAGGGGAACTCTCAAATTTGAAGATCCATAATGACTTTGGAAAATACCCCAGTGAATGTAAAGAATTCATAAGTCATTTTCTTTACCCATATAAACAATAAATGTGATGCTCAGGATGACACCTGGGAAAATATACAATTATATTTTTAAAAATAAGGTAAAGAATATTAAATAGAAGCAAAATGTTTAGAGTCCTTACTTGTTTATTATGTTTCATTTTAAAGACTCTGAATAAAACCAAAACTCTACAATATAAAAATTCTACTAGTAATTATAAAAATTATAAAGCTGTGAATAAATACTTTTGGATAAACTGTGAGAAAACAAATACTTATGTGTAAAATAATTACCTGCCTGATAGCATGAACCTCTACATTCATTGTAACGGAAATGTCCGTCAATAACAGAGGACAAATAAAAAAAAATTTTGGACAAATGTTCTTTGAGTACTTCATGATATAAATAAATATCATGAGGACACAAATATATGCTAGCCCTGAAGTAGCTTACACAGCTACTACCCCTCCCCACCCCCCAGTCATATATACCAAACTATTCATATAAAGGCCTATCAGAAGTAGCAAAAGTATAGCATTATTGTTCATTCTTGATTGGGGAAATAAACACTCAAAAATGTCTATCCATTCTTCACTGTTCATAAGATAATCTTTAAGCTCCCTGGATTGGTAGTCAAGGCTCTCCATAACCTGGCTCACCCTTTCCATAATCTCTTACCACCCTGCAGATATAGTACACAAAAAGCCAAACCAGATTGACTTTTTCACAAAAAGTATTTTATAAGAGCCTAGGCTCTTATAAAAGCACGATAAGTACTATGTCCCCCAGACTGTGCTTCAATCCACTATGCGACCTTATTATTCCTTTCTTCTTCTTCTTCTTTTTTTTTTTTTTAAGAGACTGAGTTTTGCTATGTTGCCTAGGCTGGACTCATATTCCTGGCCTCAAGTGATCCTCCTGCCTCAGCCTCCTGAGAAGCTGAGATTACAGGTGTCTGCCACACACCCGGCTTCTTTTCATCTTTAATGTCTCCCAACAACCTTCCCCATCTCTCCTAAAGTCCTACTCACCTTTTATGGCTCATTTAGGTGAAACTTTAGCTACTTTCTAAGGTTCTCCCTGAGACCTACTTACTGGAGCTTCTCTTTCTTTTAAGAGACTACACAACACTTCCTCTACACTCTATTGCAATGGCCATATTTATGTACACATCATCATTTCTTCTACCATGTTGCAAAGTTCTTTAGGCAAAGACGAATCACTTACAGTACCAGCAGGTGCCAAATCAATACTGACATTTGAAAAATTCTTAAGATTTGGATTCTTAATTACACTTATTTTTACATTAGAAACTAAAAGTCATTTTTCAGAAAAAAATTATTTTAAGAAATATCTTTACCAGTGTGCCAGCAGGCAAAGGAGCAGAATCATCTGTAGGATACATTCTGGAAACTGGACACTTGAGAATGTCTAGACCATTTGGAACCATTTTACAGTAATCCTGGATACACTGCAGCCACCACCACACAGCATCCCGACAATTGTATCTGGCATAAGTTCCTTCACCCAGTAGATTAGGAATGAGACCATGCCTCAGGGTACCAGCAAATGCTAAAATAATATTCCTAAAACAACAGAATTAAGTGGATCAGAAATGAAAACAAAACAGTCACTTTCGGTGACTATACTTTGAATGCATTTTCTCTCTTGACCTATTTCTTTATATTTTCATGTAGAAAGTAGTCATAACATGATAGAGTAAGTACTGAATTAAAGTCAGGAACCTTGATTCTAGCCTAGAATTTTATGCTAACAATCTGTGTGACTCCCTCTCTGATACAGTTTTTTCATGTGAGGTTGGACTGGGTGATTTTTAAGGTACCTCATAGCTCCAGATTCTACTTTTGAAGTCTATGGTATTTCAAAATTGAAGTAACTATTAAACATGAACTTTATTATTTTAAATAGCAGAAACCAAGAGTAAAACAAACATATAAGAAAACAAACTGGCCGGGCATGGTGGCTTACACCTGTAATCTCAGCACTTTGGGAGGCCGAGGCTGGCGGAACACCTGAGGTCAGGAGTTTGAGACCAGCCTGGTCAACATGGTGAAACCCTGTCTCTACTAAAAATACAAAAATTAGCTGGGAATGGTGGTGCATGCCTGTAGTCTCAGCTACTCAGAAGGCTGAGGCAGGAAAATTGCCTGAACCTGGGAGGCAGAGGTTGCAGTGAGCTGAGATTGTGCCAGTGTACTCCAGTATGGGCGACAGAGCGAGACTCTATCAAAAAAAAAAAAAAAGAAAGGAAGGAAGGAAGGAAGGAGGGAGGGAGGGACAGAGGGAAGGAGGAAGAGAGGGAGGAAAAGAAAGAAAGAAAGAAAGAGAGAGAAAGAAAACAAACTGGTAGAAGACAGTTTATGTTTTAAAGCGTTATTTTACTATTATATACCAAATCAAAATTTAGTTTGTAAGACAGCATGGCACTCTAGAAACAGCATGAAATTAAGAAATAAGAAGGCTGAAGTCTAAATCCTAGCTTTGCCATCTGTGTGACCTTGGAAATGTCATTTAAAATGTCTAGGTCTTACTGCTTTTTGGCTAAACCATTCAGAAATTTTTATTAATTCTATGTCTCAATTTAATGCCCATTTTTTAAACAGTAATGCAATGGGAAACTTTTTATTTATAAAGAACAAAAATATTAGTATAGACAGTGACACTTTCAATTAATAAAAGGTCAGGATAGTGTGTGTGTATGTGTGTGTGTATATATGTATGTATGTATGTATACATATGTGTGTGTGTGTGTATATATATATATGTATTTTTTTTTAAGAGACCCTGTTGCCCAGGCTGGTCTTGAACTCGTGGACTCAAGCAATCTGCCCACCTCAGCCTCCCAAAGTGCTGTAATTACAGGTGTGAACCACCACACCGGGCCATAGTGCTAGCAATCTTAACCATCTGGAACAACCTTGTACGCTTTAACAAAATGACCTCTGATTCATGATGACTTCTGTAGAGGGAGGAAGTAGAACCATCTGAGGTAGAGGTATATGTCCACTAAAACGAATTTCCTACAATTCGCAACCAATCTTACAGTTGGTTGTGGCCAGAACTGATGCATGGTAAGTGTATGGAGAAGAGGTGTGTTCTCCCAGCTCTCTTTCCCTCTCTGCTTGCCTCCTGGAGAGGCCCCAGAAGCCATGGAAACTGATAGATCCTCAAGCTGGAAGAAACCTGCTTCCATGAATCAGTATGTGGAAGGCTGCTTACTGAGCATGCATCTATGACTACAAGCAAGAAATAAATCTGATTTGTGAAAAGCCATTAAGATTTTAAGTGTTTATAATTTACGGCAGCTAGCACTACCCTAACAAATATCCTCTGGGATAATATATTATTCTCTGGGAATCACCTCTAGATCAGGGGTAGGCAAACCTTTTCTATAAAGGGCCATATAGTATTTTAGGCTTTGTGAGACATATATGAATTCTGTAGCATATGCTTTCTTCTTCTTTTAAATGACCTTTTAAAAAGGTAAAAGTTAGTCTGGTTGGGTGCAGTGGCTCACGCCTGTAATCTCAGCACTTTGGGAGGCTGAGGCAGGCAGATCACAAGGTCAGGAGATCGATACCATCCTGGCTAACATGGTGAAACCCGGTCTCTACTAAAAATACAAAAAATTAGCCAGGCATGGTGGTGGGCGCCTGTAGTCCCAGCTACTTGGGAGGCTGAGGCAGGAGAATGGCGTCAACCCGGGAGGCAGAGCTTGCAGCGAGCCAAGATCGCACCACTGCACTCCAGCCTAGGCGACAGAGCGAGAGTCTGTTTCAAAAGAAAAAAAAAAAGAGGTAAAAGTTATTCTTTGCTCACAGGCCATACAAAACAGGCGATAGGCCATAGTTTGCTAACCAATAATCTAGACAGTCCTATGTAAAATTAAGCAGCGGAAATTTGTGATATTGCATAGAAGTGATAATTGGGAGCCTAAACAATATTAATAATGATAAAAACTAACAGTTATGAAATGTTCAGCATGTGGCAGATATTATTCGAGACACCTTAACTGTATGTGTTCATTTGATCCTCACAAGTACCCAGTGAGGTAATTTGTCAGCTGGTAGTTTGGAACCAGGATTAGAAGCTAGCAGTCTGGTCTAAAGCCGGAGTTCTTAATCACTATATTACGCTGAATGCTGATGTTCCATTTCCTTCTTCTAAATTAGTAATTCAGGGGCATTTAGAGAAGAAGCAAACAGCTTCCTAAATTTCTATAGCTCCATAATGATAGTAAGAAAAGGTCTTATATCCGACTAGCAAAAATGCAATTCATTTCAGATGCCCACCTAAAAACTTCAGTTTTAAAAGTATCAAAAATAAAATTTTGGCATGTAAGGACACAAATTTCAGTTATTTTCCTGATGGTATCAAAACAAGGTATCATATAAATGCCTTTTTGCTAAAAGTTTTAACTTTTAGACCTGTGCTTTCAAACTTCAGCCTTAGCTTGTTGATAATCATCCAGAGACCTTGTGAAAACACAGATTTCTGCCCAACAACCCTACTCTCTCTATGTGCAGGTTTGGATTTGGGAGGCCTGGCATAGGGTCCAAGAATCTGCATTTCTAAAAGCTCTCAGGTGAGGGTGACACTACTGATGTGTGGAACGCATTTTGAGTGGCACTGCTGTAGCGCTTTCCTTTCAACCTCCAATAAGTTCATTCATATTATTGTGACATTAAAAAAATACCATTTTACTGCCGGGCATGGTGGCTCACGCCTGTAATCCTAGCACTTTGGGAGGCCGAGGCAGGCGAATCATGAGGTCGGGAGTTTAAGACCAGCCTAACCAACACAGCGAAACCCCATCACTACTAGAAATACAAAAATTAGCCGGGCGTGGTGGCGGGCACCTGTAATCCCAGCTACTCAGGAGGCTGAGGCAGCAGAATGGCTTGAACCTGGGAGGCGGAGGCGGAGGCAGAGGTTGCAGTGAGCCGAGATTGTGCCGCTGCACTCCAGCCTGGGCGACAGTGCGAGGCTCTGTCTCAAAAATAAAAAACAAAAAAAACCAAAAATAAACCATTTTAAGTCTAGAAAACATAAAACAAGGTTACAAGGCTTGACAACAAATAGAGGAAAACTTGATATTATAATTCTGCAAGACTGAAAGACTAGCAATGCCTTCACTATAGAAGGCATAAAAATGTTATAACATTTTTAGTTTTGTTGAAATAAATTAGCTAATGCTAAAGATAACCTGTCTTGTAATATGAAGGACTAGAACTTAGTGACTTCAAAGATTTTCACCCCTTTGAAATTTTATGATCCTATTAAGTGAACATACAAAAACAAAATAAAAAATACCTAAAGAAAATACAGCTACCAAATGTTGAGAAAAGATGGGTAAGAAGGAAAGCTTGAAGAACACGTAAAAGACATTCAGACATAAACTTGCAGTACAACACTTTAGAGGATCTCCTACCTGGCTTCTACATAGCGTCCAGTAATCAGCAGTATGCCTCTAAGTGCAATAAAAGTATCCCTTCCCCAGCAGCGGAAAATACCAGAAGAAAAATGAGGTAAGCCTAACGGAAAACACAACAAAATAATACGTTAACCAGAATAATACACACAAACCTATGAACTCCATTACTATAGAAGAGTTCCTCTAAACCGGGGGTACAAGACAGGTACCTGCAAATCCTCTAAAACCATCTAAAATTATTTGTGCTAACTTTTGTCAAATGAGATTCCATCCTCTTATCAGATTCCTAAAGGAATCTATGACCTAAATAAGATTAAGAACCACTGCTATAGAGGGATACTTATCTAAATTGAGGTGTGAGTACACAGGTAAACTTTTCTTCTTTCTGAGAGAGGGTCTGGCTCTGTTGTCCAGGCTGGAGTGCAGTGGCACAATCTTGGGTCACCGTAACCTCCACCTCCTAGGCTCAAGCCATCCTCCCACCACAGCCTCCCAAGTCGCTGGGAGTAACTGGTGGACACCACTGTGCCTGGCTAGTCTTCATACTTTTTGTAGAGAATGAGGTTTTGCCATGTTGCCTAGGGTGGTCTTGAACTCCTGAGCTCAAGTGATCTGCCCAACTTGCTCTCCCAAAGTGCTAGGATTATAGGCATGAGTCACTGTACCTGGCCAAACTTTCTTTTATAAATTAAATTTAAAGAGTAAAATCGGAGATCAAATACTTAACACATAAACACTAAATATTAATTATATATTTAAAAAGACGCTACCTTGAACTTAAGGATAATAAATAAATCAAAATATGAAATTATTAACTTAATGATACCTAATTAAGTATACTTATTGATCTATCACTTGAGTCAACATTTATTATCAAATTTCCCACTAATTTAAAATAACTTAAAAGTGTTATGGCCGGGCGCGGTGGCTCAAGCCTGTAATCCCAGCACTTTGGGAGGCCGAGACGGGCGGATCACGAGGTCAGGAGTTCGAGACCATCCTGGCTAACACGGTGAAACCCCGTCTCTACTAAAAAATACAAAAAACTAGCCGGGCGAGGTGGCGGGCACCTGTAGTCCCGGCTACTCGGGAGGCTGAGGCAGGAGAATGGTGTAAAAACCCGGGAGGCAGAGCTTGCAGTGAGCTGAGATCCGGCCACTGCACTCCAGCCTGGGCGACACAGCAAGACTCCGTCTCAAAAAAAAAAAAAAAGTGTTATATTCTGTATACAATATGTACAATTTTACTTGTCACTTAAAATTAATTTTACAGACAAAAACAAGGATTTAATGTGCCAAATAACTTGAACATTCTAGGTAATTGGAGCTTTTATATACAAGATAAAATAGTATGATTAATGGTGCAATCTAAAATTTTACTTAAAGATTGAGTTTGGTTTCTTATAAAACACTAAGGTCAGGAGTTTGAGACCAGCCTGGCCAACATGGTGAAACCCCGTCTCTACTAAAAATACAAAAAATTAGCCAGGCATGGTAGTGGGCACCTGTAATCCCAGCTACTTGGGTGGCTGAGGCAGGAGAATTGCTTGAACCCGGGAGGTGGAGGTTGCAGTGAGCCGAGATCACACCATTGCACTCAGCCTGGGCAAAAAGAGTGAAACTCCGTCTCAAAAGAAAAAAAATTATGCTAAAGCACAAATATCACACATATTTTGGTTGGGGAAACTGAGGACAAATAAAATATACACAGCATTCATTTATAACTAACTTCAAAGCACTTAACGCTATTTGAAAATTATCTTGTTTGCTCCCTGTTGAATGAATGTATCTTCCCAGTAGGAAATAAGACCTATGAGTAGAAATCTCATCTACCTTGTTCACCAACAAGTATGTATTCATTGAAAATTGTAACTGTATATAATATATCCCTATAAATATTTGATAACTGAAATAAAAAACCAATATTAATATGTAAATTGAAAAGTGAAAGAATTTGACTAAAAGAAAGTTTTGGCAATTCCCGAGTGTACTTCACAATTTAAGTTTCTGTTTATTGGAAATTAGATGTTAGTTTCTTCCATTAAGAAAGATAAGAATTAGACCTTTTTCCTACCTATGTGGTCTCCAAAATGATGGTACAAAATTTCCCCAAATACACTGTGTATTATTTACTTATGGTTAATATGTATGGTTTATATATGGATGATATATACATAATTTTGATGATAGCAATGACAGCAGCTAACATATATATAGCACTCTGTGCCATAAGGACACTTCCTAGTAGTCTGACCCATTTAATTCCATGTATGAAACATGAATATAGGTAGACTCAAAGATGAGTCTGAATCAGTATATCCAAAAATATATGCAGTCTGTCTTTGTGAAAAAGTCAAAACTATAAAATCTCTAGCACTGATATATGGAAATGTTTGTATTAACTTTTTGACCTGTAAGAGTACACAACTAATAGATTTCATATCTTCTAAGTGATTTCTAATTTGTCAATTATTAGAACAGGCTACAATTTTTTTTTGTTTTTTTGAGGAAGGGTCTCCTCCCACCCAGGCTGCAGTGCAGGGGTGTGATCACAGCTCACTGCAGCCTCAAACTCCTTGGCTCAAGGGATTCTCCTGCCCCAGCCTCCTGAGTAGCTAGGGCTACAGGCACATACCACCATGCCTGGCTAATTTTTAATTTTATTTTGGTAAAGATGGGGTCTTGCTATGTTGTTCAGGCTGGTCTTGAACTCCCTGCCTCAAGTGATCCTCCCGCCTCAGCCTCCCAAAGTGTTGGGATTACAGGTATGAGCCATTGTTTTTAATTGTTGTTGCAATACTATAACCAAAGGAAGACATTCCCAATCAGTTTAAAATGAATCCCCAAAAACCTATCTGCAAATCTGAATACAGTCCTGTTTTTTGCAAGTAAAGAGTAGGCAAACACTCCCTTGGGATGCTAGAAGCAAATATCACACTTTTACCTGTATTTGCTTATCAACTTAATTTTTTAGTTTTTGTTTTATATCATACCTGATAAGCATGTCAGATGTAACAGCTTATATCAGTATATCGTTTAAAGTGTATGCTTTGAAGATGTTTAACAACAGCAGTACACAATCAAAAAGGTTGAAATTACTACTTTTTGTAACAGGCTTCTAAAAAGTAGGCTTTAAAACCAAGTTATTTACATCAGTGTTTCTTTTGCCCCTCTGGCTAAGGTTGTTTCACGAGCATCTGCATGGATTCATGAGGGAACAACGGATACCAGGAGATCAAACAGTCAAGTGAAAATCTAAAAACACAATTACAGAACTAAAACAGCATTTTATGAATGTTTCATGAACATTTTTAATGGAAAGGTAATTTTTATTTTAGCTGTTGGGTATCACTAAGTCTTTTTATCTGGTCTAAGTAGCTGCAAATTTAAGGGTAAAAGAGGGAATTACACAGATAACACTACTTCTTTCTTCCTGTAACTTGGTATTTTTCAGTTTAGTTTGGAAAGTTCTAAACTTCAGTTGTCTCAAATACTAAGTACTTTCTAGAAATATGCTTGAAATGTATTAAAAAGAAAACAAAAGCCTGTCCTTTAGTCTATTTTGCTTACTTGAATTTGTTATTTGATTCAGGTTTTAAATCTTCTTGGAATAAAGTATATTGATTCAAATGTTGAAAGCATTTGATTGCAATTAGACCCATGAAAAAAATTATTTAACATCTGTTTTATAATTTATAGGGACCTTTACATGATCTCTTGATAATTACAAGGTTAGGTTTATTTATTTATTTATTTTTTTAATTTTTATTTTTTGAGACGGAGTCTCGCTGTGTCTCCCAGGCTGGAGTGCAGCGGCTGGATCTCGGCTCACTGCAAGCTCCACCTCCCGGGTTCATGCCATTCTCCCGCCTCAGCCTCCCAAGTAGCTGAGACTACAGGCGCTCACCACCACGCCCAGCTAGTTTTTTGTATTTTTAGTAGAGACGGGGTTTCACCATGTTAGCCAGGATAGTCTCGATCTCCTGACCTCGTGATCCACCCGCCTCGGCCTCCCAAAGTGCTGGGATTACAGGCTTGAGCCACCGCGCCCGGCCGGGTTTATTTTTTAAAATTGGGGAAAAATATAGAAAAGAAGATAGTAAAATAAATTTGATTTAAAAAAAACACAGAATGTCAAGAGTTGGAAAAATAGAAACATGAAGAAAAGAATCAGCTAGCCATAAAAAACACACATAAATGCCTGGTGCACAGTTATAATTAAACAGTATGCATAGTCACTATTTTTATGAGTGAAAATCTATGAAATGTACTAAGCGGTAAAATAAAATCTTAAGTAACGTTACAAGGTTTTTAAAAATAATCATTTTCCTGTAACTTTTCTCCTGTGAATACTACTGATTTACATATTTTAACCTTGTACATAATTCCTTACCTGCAGCTAGAGAAACACAACATTGCTCCTTTTCTTTTGTGATCTCATTTAATCTATAAGGTACATCCGTTAGTGCAGGTGAAAGAATTGGCAGGGAAGGGAATTTTCCTACTCCACACAGTTGAACTGAACCCAGTGAAAGGTGTTTCACAAAGGTTGAACCATTCTGAACAAAGCTGTAACAAAAGTGATGGAATTAATTACTTGTAGAAATATAAAAATTTTTAGCAGTTTTATTTTACTTGGTTTCTTTCCTTCAAATGATTTTTCTATACAATCTATAACAATGGTCATATTAGTTAAAATTTTTTAAAATTTGGTTAGATTTCAAAACTGCTTTCATTTCACCCATTATTTTAGCTGGCTTACAGTCCACAGATGGTTGTAAAACAAATGGCAGAAATGAAAGTTTGTTCTTCTGAAATTATGTCCTAATCAATTTGGTGGCTCTCACTAGTACGCTTAAATTTGTGGTTCCATTTTAGGAAAATTCATCATTAAAGGCAAATTTCATTCATAATAATAGTGGAATTTTTTCCTCTTGATGAAAAATTAGAAAAATTATACATGTATGTTTCAGAAATTTTATCAATTAACTCAGTAAGTCCATGAATACACAGAAACAATATAAAACAATACTCTTATCAATATATTTTATTAGCTTTTAGAACAGATTTTATAATATTCAAGCTTGTTTTTGTATGCCACACAGACTAAAGGATTCTAATAAATTTACTATCCACCTACAAGCCTTTTCAGTTCTATGACAGTTCTTCATGGTTTGGTTTTTTAAGAACATGTATGAAGTGACTCTGTATATAGTTTCTACACAGATATGCCCATTTATTCAAGTTTTGTTGGATGTACCTTGACATCTGCTTCCATGCTATATCCAGAAGAGTGGTATATGCACCAATTAATATAGCATCAAAGTAACATGGGATAAGGTAACGTGGGATCTGCTTCAGGTAGAAGAACATAGCCTGCAACCATTTACCAACCTATTATAAAAATAAATTTGAAAGTTAATTTGGTATGTGTATAGGCTAGGTGTGTTTATAGAGGTAAATCTAAACATGCAACTTTAGTAATCTATAAACCCTATTTCCATTTACTAGTACTGAAAGATGATGAAGAAAGGAGGAAAACAGTTCAGGTTAGAAAACAATCTAAATATTATATATAACATGGTAATATTTATTATTATGTCCTTGATTTTTTTGGGACTATAATATAGTTCTACTTACTTCAGCAATAGTTCCTGATCGTGAAATAAGCCGGTTACTGACATAGTCAATCATCCAATCTCCAGATCTCAAATTATTACAAAAAGGATGCCCCAAGTCATTCTTTGGTCTTATTTCTGCCAATACAGACATTAAACCTGAAAATGCAGAGACATGTCATGCTGTACTATCGGTAGCATCAATTTGTTCGTATATCCTCTAGTCCCTACTCTGCTAGTGTCTATTCTAGTGATTTGGGGTGAATACGTATTAGAGGCAGACACAAGGGCTATCCAGTCCCCAACAGCGCTTAATATAGTTGAAGATAAGTGTGACAATATTGGCTTGAGACAAGTTACAAAGGCATACTGAAGGAGACCACTGTCACAAGAGATATAAAGAGCTTTTCAGGATTCATAGCTTCTGGGACTGGTCTTATTCTTTTGGATTTTAATGTTATAATATTCAAGGGTAACTGGCATGGCTTCCCTGCCCAAAAGCATCTCAAGAAAGAAAAGTGATAAGCCTATGTTTTTTCATGTTGAAAAGTAGTGGGTTCATCAATATTCAGGCTAGATTTAAGGAAATCATAGAACTGGTTTCAGAGGGAGCAAGAACACCTATGGAGATAATAAGAGTAAAGTATACTTTGGAAGGAATTGTTGAAATTTAACGGGAGGTACTTAGAACTAAGTGAAATATCAAAGTGAGGTGTGTGTGTGTATGTATATATATACACATACATATATACACATATACTTAAAACATAAAAGATGTTGGGAAACATATATATACACACATATATATATACACACACATATATATACATATACTTAAAACATAAAGATGTTGGGAAACATATATGTACACACATATATATATACACACACATATATAGACATATACTTAAAACATAAAGATGTTGGGAAACAAGACTATAAAATAATATTCTACATATGCCCTAGCATTTTCATGGACAGCAGATAATGCTCAGTAAATTTTGGTCTCACTGTGGAATAATGGAAGGACATAAGGAAAACAGTGTTTTAGAAACAGATCTGATGATGACCAATGAAATGGAATGATTTGCAGATGAGGTAACAAGATTTGGAAAATTGGTTAGTTGGTTTTGTTTATAGGACTTAGTCCTAGAATACAGTGAAAACTGGAAATAAAAAGGATATGGTGTACCCAACAGAATATGGAAAAGAATCCACAAATCATAATGACTGATTGGATATTGAGGATGAAAGGCGCAGATCCAAAATGGACTCCTGGATTCCAACATGACTAGATATACCATATTATAAGGAGGGAAATACATTTTGTTTAGGGGAAAGAAAGGTCAACAAAGTAGTTAAATCTGATTTAACCTGAGGCTCCTATTAGCAGCCTGCTGGAAATATGTGGGTTGCTGAAAATATTAAACGATCAGAGGGGAAAAGGATTAGTATAAAGCAGCAAAAAATAAACAGGTAAGGGCAATTCTATTTAGAAAAGATAAGAAGAATCATTTCATTAGAAAGACAAGGAGAATTAGCAAAGAAGCAAACTGAACTATAAGAAAGATAAAGGCTAGAAAAAGAGAACACACAAATTTGGTCTTTTTAGTGAACTAGAAGTAGTTTAACAACTCAGAGTGAAAATGAAGCAGATAATTACTTAAATCTGGTAACATATACACATCTTTTAAAAATTAATTAAATAAATTTATTTATTTTTTGAGACACAGTCTTGCTCTGTCACCCACGCTAGAGGGCAGTGGCATGATCATAGTTCACTGTAGCCTCAAACCTCTCTCCAGCTCAAGTGATCCTCCTGCTCTGGCCTCCCAAAGCATGAGATTACAGGCGGGAGCCACCATGTCTGGCTCACATATACTTCTTTCTTACAGGACAAAACATTTTGTGTTAAAAATGAGAATATTTTAGAAAAAAAATATCGTTAAGTTCAAAAAGTCTCAAAAAAGTTTATTGAGAACTGCTTATGTGCTTGGTTTTGTAGGAAATACAAAAGCTAAAAAACAAGAAGCATAAAAAAGATAAAACTTAATTCTTCTTTCTCAAGGTATGCAGCCTACTTACTTAGTGTGGTTTTAAGGCTAGAAATTTCCAATTACTTATTATAAACTAGGTGTCATCTAGTGAGCTGTTCACATGTATTAATTCATTAATCCTAACCATAATCCCTGTGGTAGGTACCACTCTGCAGATGAGAAGACTAAGCCATAGAGCATTTACTTCAGGTTATAAAGCTAGTCAATGTAACCCAGGAAATCTGGTTTTAAAGCCTGTTTCTTAATCACAATGATAAAGATTCACAAAAATCATTATACTAATTACCAAAACAAGGCAATATATTTCAAGGGCCAAGTAAGAGGTATAGAAAATAAATGCAATGGGTATCTGGAGGACAAAGAAATTACTGTAAAAAGCAATAGTTAAAGAAGCTTTTATGAAAGATGCAAGAATTAAATTAGTCCTTAAAGATGGGTTAGATGGACAAAGAAAGAGTTGAACAAAAGGCATAAGTGGAAAACTATATGAACTAGGAATACAGGTGTGATAAAGCAAATTTCTTAAACATCTAAGGAAATATTACCAACTAGATGAATTAAACTGATAAATATTTAATTCCTTTAACTCATCTTACAACTACTCTATGTTTTACTGTAAGTTCTCTTTACAAGATAAAACAAATATGCAGTATTTCCCATTAGATTTAAAAAAAGGTGAATGGATTATATTTACAACCTAATCTCACTTGGGGCCCAAACAAGCATATTCTGTTTCTTCTTATATAATAAACCAGGCCAAGAAACATTAATTAAGGTCCAAGTATACATAAAGAGCTACACAGACCTTAAGGAAAGAGATAGAACTAGTAATTCTAGGTAAAATTTACTGGGTAATTACTTTGTGTTACATCCTGTTTTCAGTGTTTTATGTGAATGATCTCACTAATCCTCACAAAAACCTTCTAAATTAGATAATATTATTCAAATTTTATAGAGGCAGAAATTGGTGCACAGAGAGGGTATATTACTTGCCAAAGGTCAATCAATGAGTAGGAGCAGAGCCATAATTGCAACCCAAGCAGGCATACTCTGAGCCTATATACTCTATCGCCTGTAAAGAAGACACCAGACGACCCTAAAAGAAAAACACAAAGCTCAGCTGTCCTTCTATTTGCTTACCTTGAAGACCTGCATATTTAAGGGCTGACCAGTTTGGTATGTCATAGCACCCTCCACCATCTTCCTTTTCTTCTGATTCACATCGGTAAAGGATCTGATTTAGCTCAGCCAAAGTTAATTTGGAGGCAATACTAAGAATTGGAAAATAAAGATAACCATATATTGAAGTTTCGCTTGTTGTCAATAGAAACAAAAGAAGATAATCTGAATTATAATCATAAAATGTCTTAGCAGTATATGTTTTAGGAACTCAGCATTCAAATAAACATTACAGTCATACATTATAAGTAATTATTAAAGGACAAATTATGCAAAAGATTCAATTAGAAGCAACAATACTTTCAAATCAAGGAAATAATCAAGTACCAAATTGTATTGATTAGAAGTATGCTGGGAAAAAATTTTGGCTTCTGTATCCTTGATCTTATAAATTTGTTTTTTTAGCCTTTCTAGTTTGGACTTAGTGTTTTCCTTCCTTCTATTATTTATTTATGTGTTCTCTCTGATTTCCCTCCTTTATATTTCCCTAAGTGAGACATCAAGAACTTTTTATGCTAGTTATTGTATACTAAGAATACTTATCAGAGGATCACTAAAGGAATAATAAAAAGTCAGTTAACTGCCTAGGAAATCACGTGCTCTCTGCCTTTATACTATTCTCCACGTCCCTCCTCTTCTCTTCTCTTCTCTAAGGCTGCACTGCCTCTCAGCTTGTTTATTCAAGAAACCAGGATTTTCTCAGATTTAAGATGCCTCCTGATAACTGTTAGAGGGAAGACTGACTATCATGGCCTTGATTTCCCTTTGTTTGGTCAGCAGTAAGACGGTATAACTGACCACACCTGAATACAGCTGAAACTGTATTTTCCTGTGCTTCTATAATAGATGCTCAGGTAATTTCATTTTACATGACTGCCATTTTATGTGAACACATATCCACTTGAATGTATATTCTTCTTTCTCTTTTAGTTCTGGCTCAATTTAGAAAATCATTGTCATCTGTGCTTTGTTCTCTCCATCTCAGCTTTCCTCCTCAGAGCTAGTTTGTGAGTCAGGCCTGAGTCAAATCATTCAGAAGCCTCAGTATCAACTCCATTCTAGGGCAATATTTTTCAACACACAGCCAGTGGACTCCTTGCCTAAAAATTACTTGGGGATCTTATAAAACTGCAAATTTTTTGGCCTTGCTCCAGAATAATCTGAGCAGGTCTGAGGAGGAACATGCATTTTACGAGCAGTTCACCCAACACAAAGCTGCTTCATCACAGATTTTTTGGTTAAGAATGCAACTACTTTATTAAGAATAGTTTGAATTAAGAGTTAATATCCTTAACAATAAAGTCTTACAAAACAACAAAAAAAGCTGAACACAATAGCAAAATGGAGTAATACATAAAACTACACTTCAACAAATACAAATGGCCAATGAACAAAATATTTAGCTTAACTAATATTTAAATTATATGAGATGTTATTTTTAACTATTTTATATATACCAGTTTGATTAGTAACAGCTAACACTTATCAATCACTATGTGTCAAAAACTATTGTGTTTTACTCAAGTAATCCTCACAACTCTGGAAGAAAGGTGCTATAATTATGTCTATTATAAATTCTCAAAGGTCTCTTTTTTTCTAGAGACAGGGTCTTGCTCTGTTGCCCAGGCTGGAGAGCAGTGGCACAATCATGGCTCATTGCAGCCTAGACCTCCTGGGCTCAACTGATGCTGATGTTCCTACTTCAGCTTCCTGAGCAGCTGTGACCACAGGTGTATGCCCCAACTCCCAGCTAATTTTTTAAAAACATTTTTTAGAGATAGGGTTTCACTATGTTGCCCAGGCTGGTCTTAAACTCCTGGGCTCAAGTAATCCTCCCACTTTGGCCTACCAAAGTGCTGAGATTATAGGAGTGAGCCACTGCACTCAGCCAGGTCTTACTTCTTATAGCTAATAAGAGTCTGCAATGGAATTCAAACCCAGTTAGTCTGGTTCTATACTCCATGCCCTTAAACACTATATTATATTGTGGTATAATATATTGGTATTGGTAATGATGGAAATTCTTGGATAGAGCTGAAAGTATTAATTAATATAATCTTTCTGGAGGCAATTTGGCAGTATGTATTAAAAGCCTCAAACATATGGATATAGTATAACCCAATGGTCCTTAACCTTTTTGGCACCAGGGACTGGTTTCACAGAAGACACTTTTTCATGGACTGAGGGTGAGGGAGTGTGGTTTTGGAATGATTCAAGTGCATTACATTTATTGTGTACTTTATTTCTACTATTATTATATTGTAATATATAGTGAAATAACTATACAACTCACCATAATGTGGAGTCAGTGGGATCCCTAAGCTTGTTTTCCTGCAACTAGACAGTGCCATATGGGGGTGATGGGAAACAGTGACAGATCATCAGGCATTAGATTCTCATAGGCAGCATGCAATCTAAATCCCTTGCATGGACAATTCACAATAGGGTTCACGCCCCTATGAGAATTTAATGCAGCCACTGATCTGACAGGAGGCGGAGTTCAGGCCGTAATGCGAGTGATGGGGCGCAGCTGTAAATACAGATAAAGCTCATCTGCCACTCACTTCCTGCTATGCGGCCTGGTCTAACCCAAAAATTCCATTTCTGAAAATTTATACTAGTACTAATGATGACAAACTATGAGCATTTACTATGTGCCAAGCATTGTGTTAAGTGCTTTATATGTGTTATCCTATTTAATTCTTACAAAATTTTCCAGATGGGAGACTGAGATGATGAAAGTTCTAAACAAATTATCCAAGATCATACTGACAGTAATGAAGCTAAAGTTTAACCCAGGTCTAAACCTCAAAACTGATATTCTTCTGTAGTATGCAGTGACATCTAGAAAGGGAATAACTAAGGATGAATGTACAAAGACATACTAATAGGGAATAATTAGAAGCAATCTAGATATCCAAAAATGGAAACTGTTTAAATAAATTCAGTAAAGCCACAAAGTAGAATCATATGTTGACATTTTTTAAAAATGATGTGGTAAAGGCTATGAGGTATGCAACTTAATCTCAAATACTTTGGATAAATTGTGTGTGTGTGTGTACAGAGAGATGCATGTGTGTGTGTATGTATGCATGTAGGCATGTGTGTATCTATATCTATAGAGAGAATACACATGCAGGTACACACACAAATTATAAAGCAATACGGTAAAATGTTAACAACAGGTGATGCTGACACTGCTGGTCCTTGGACGGTACTTTGAGTAGCAAGGATATAAACGACCCTTAAAACTGCTTAATTCAGTCTAGTGGTAACTCACTTATTAAAGTGGCAAATCTCTATCAAACAAGGCATACTTACGAAGCAAAGGGAATTTTTAATATAGGATCTGAATTGTCAACAGCTAGGCTCCCAGATTTAAAGTGAGGACTGAATTGGGTCAGATGATTTCGAAGAATTCCAACAGCGACTTGTGCATGTGGATCAAGACTAACTCTGAAAAAGTTAATTAAAAAGTGGTTAATTTTTAGGAGTAATTTATTCAAATTTAACAGGATATGCAAACTATTTTAAATATAAGTCAACAGTTTGAGCTCAGTTAACATACCTGAATATAATAACGCTTCCTGGAGACAAGTTTTCAAATTCTATTTCTTGAATATATTCATTGGGCCCTTTTGTGGCAACTCCAGCTTGTTTAACAATTTTACTTTCATTAAGCTTGAAAAAAATTACATTAAAAAAATCCATTCAACAAATAGTTCTAATGTCCTTAAAATGCTAAACATAGTAGTAAGATGAGAGTCCTAAATACCTGAATATGTTCTCTAATTTCTACTGTGATATCTGGCATTCCATTGATTGAATTCTCATCCTTCCTATAAGGTTTCGTATTTCTCTCAATAGTTCTAGCTTCAAGAACTACTTCTTCAATTTTGCCTAGGAATATATAAAAACATTTTAACAAAATTTCATATGGAATCATCAAAATTAGGAAGGCTAAAGTGGTTTCAAATCATTTAACTTAAAGTTGAAAAGAAAATATCAGTTAATTTTTTTTAGAAGTCTGAAAGTAGATGATTCTAACCAAGGTGCATTTTACATTAAAAAAAAAAAAAATTACGACTTAGTTAACAAAGCTTTTTTTGAAGTAGAGATGTATCAAAATAACAGCTTAGCTCTGGCGAACAACTACCTAATTTTGAGCAGAAAAAAAGCAAATCACTTGAAAGGCATACATTTTTTAAAAAATTGGAATATTTCAGATACAAAAAAAAAATTAAAAACCCAGGTTCCACTTCCTCACTTAAAGAAAAATTTACAAATACAAGTAAAGCGTCCGTGTACCCATTCTTCACTTTCAGAGGTAACCTCAATTCAGTTTGGTGCTCACTATTCCTGGCATTTTCACTACACATGCCTGTTTCCTTAAACAACATATATTAATTTCCCTATTTCCAAGTTTTATTAAAATGAATTCAAGGCTGGGCGCGGTGGCTCAAGCCTGTAATCCCAGCACTTTGGGAGGCCGAGACGGGCGGATCACGAGGTCAGGAGATCGAGACCATCCTGGCTAACATGGTGAAACCCCGTCTCTACTAAAAAATACAAAAAACTAGCCGGGCAAAGTGGCGGCGCTGTAGTCCCAGTACTTGGAGCTGAGCAGGAGAATGGCGTGTACCCAGGAGCGGAGCTTGCAGTGAGCTGAGATCCGGCCACTGCACTCCAGCCTGGGTGACAGAGCATGACTCGTCTCAAAAAAAAAAAAAAAAAAAAAAAAAAAAAAGAATTCAAATTACATATATTTGCAACTTGCTTTTTACTGGTCAACAATGTATTTTTTAGATTCATTCACACTGCTACATCAGCTCTAGCACATTTACTTCAAATGTCAAATAATATTCTACTGTATGAATATACCAAAATACATCTGTTCTATTACGGTTGTCTCTAATTTTTCTCTATTATAAACAATGTTGCAATAAATATTCTTGTGCATATCTTCAAATGGAAATGTATGAAAATTTCCCAGATATATACCTAGGGATAGAACTGCAGGGTCAATGGCTTATATAAAATTACAACCTTACTTTAAATAACTTAAGCTTTAGGTCATTAATCTGGCAATAGGTAACAGAACCTTTTGATCTAGAAATTCTACCTCTGTAAATATACACTAAGAAAATTGCTTAAAAGAAAAAACAATTATCCTTAGTGTATATTTAAAACACTACTAAACATACTAAAGAATATTAAAAACGGCATAACAACAATGTATGAAACATTTAACAAAACAATAATCACAATTTTGTGGACTGACAAGAGGAAATGTTTTAGGAATGATCCGTGACCAAAACAAAACCAGAGATAATATTGTACATTGTGATTGTTGTCCTATAAAACTAAATATGTACATTAGCAAAGATCAGATAAGGATAGTGAATATGAATTTGTGAACAATTAAAGAAACTTTTAGGTATTCAGGTTGATAATTTTTAAAAACAGGAACTATGCATACTCAGCAACTAGCAACCAATATAGAATATGATGATTTTTCTGGGAATTTTCATTTGGTCAATCAATCAACAAACTTTGACAGCTGCTGCATGAACAGGAGCACGGTATGCTATACCACATATAATAGTAAGACAATAAAATACACATATCCAGAAAAAAATCAAGTAATATTAAGGACACACCTCAGGGATGTATTTTATAATTTTTGACTCTCTGTGCCAAAGGAGTACATAGAGACTATAATTGCTGTATGTTCCGAAGAAAGAGAGATCACTGAACAAAGAAGGTGCAACTTTAGACCTTGAAAGATCCAGACAATTCACATAGTATTTGGGAAGAAGTAAAAATACCTATTTGGCTGAAATAGTGGACTGACATAGGGCTAGGATTGTAGATGAGGATGGATTATGAAAAGCCTTAAACATAAGGTTATATTATTTGCCATTTTAGTTTATATATTTGTATGTATGTCTGTGCATATACACAAAGACATATATTTATACATGTATATACATATACACTAACACAAATATATATATTGTTCTGCTAGAAGAGAAATAAATGTTCATTTTACACAAATTAGGAAATAAAATATAAACAAAAATATTTCACAACTCAAAAAATGTTAATATTTGAAAGTATTTCTGTCTAGGTTTTGTTCCACCCAGTAAAAATATAAGTTGCCAAAAATTTCTTTCTTTTTTTTTTTTTTTTTTTGAGACAGGGTCTCACTCTATCACCCAGGCTAGAGTGCAGTGGTGGGATCTGGACTCACTGCAACCACTGCCTCCTGGGCTCAAGCAATCCTCCCACCTCAGCCTCAGGAGTAGCTGAGACTACAGGCATTTGCCACCATGTCCACCTAATTTTTTGTACTTTTTTTGATAGAGACAGAGTTTTACCATAATGCTGAGGCTGGTCTTGAACTCCTGAATTCAAGTGATCTGCCTGCCTCAGCCTCCTGAAGTGTTGGGATTATAGGTGTGAGCCATCATGCCCGGCAAAAGTTTAAATTCTTTTTCTCAAGTACATCCACAGTAGCACTGTGTTATAATATATATGATATATACATGATATGTAACTTTAACGTTATAGTATAATTTAATATAATGATATAATACAAATACAATAACAATTTTCAGATTGCATTACCAGGGATGCACATTTGAGGCACTTCCTTGCTGTAAAATGAAGTCTTGGGATTCCTGAAAGCAGTTCTAGATACAGCCACAACAGACTGATGGATGCTAGGTGAGTGTCTTGTTACTGCCACTATGTCTTCATCAACTTGATCCACATACACCTGAGAAGCAGAAAGAGCACCTAGATTAGCTTTCAAACTGGAAAGACTTACTCTGAAATTGAACCTGAAGAAACAAATTTAATAATTTCTTGCCTGAATAAAACCCTTGGCTCCAAGCTGCTGATGAAGCTTATTGATAGCACACCTGGCTGCAATAATGCCGCTTTGGAAATTAACTTCACCTGTATTTGAAGGCAATGCTTCAGGATTCCACTTAGTGTAAAACCGTTCCTCAGAAACCACTGAAATCTAGACAAAGGTAAAATTTAGCATGGATACATTTTAATTATAATGAATTTTTTTGATAAAAATGCCCAAAGTTATTGGCCATGTAGGTTTTAAAAAACAACATATAAACAAACCTGATGAGGCACTAATTCATCATAGCCTCTTGTACTTCCACTAGCACAACACGCCATAGAAACAATTGTAGTACTTGGAAGAGCATCATATGCTGATCTATGCTAGAAGACAACAACAAAGCAAAAGTTTGCTTTCTTTCAAATGCAAAATGCCATTCTATAGCATAATGAAGTAAAAGGATAATTACATAAATAAATTCATAAGGTAAATAAATTTGCTTTTAAACAAGCAAAACATTCTGAAAACTATGTATTATAAATCAGTTATAAATCTAAGACACTAGTTTGAAGTATATGGAAATGATTGTGACCAAGTGTTAGAGAGTTAAGTATCAAAGCATTCAGCAAAATAAGTACATGAAAAAGATTAGGTGCTTACCACAATAGGACACTCATTATCATGGGTAATATCCATAAACAAGGCATGTGCAATAGCTGGCATTAAAGGCCTCAAACAGGGCTGAACAAAGGATCCAACAGGTTCTCCTCCATATCGGTAAACTAATCTGCCCTCTTCATGACTATTATATGCACTCATTGCCTCTGCAGAGCATTACAGAATATTTTAACAATCTTCATTATTTATGTCCAGGAAGAGGTTAGATTTCTTATCATAAATGATTTTCAAAATAAAGACCACATCAACATTATAAAAAAAAAACTGCTTTAAGGATTTAAACAAATGTCTACTAGTTTAAGTGACAAAAAAGTTTTCCCCGTAACTTAACTGGAGAAATGGCTCATGTAAGGAAAAGGGAACATACGTTGTTTACTGGGATGTAAGCTACACAAAATTCAGTGTAAAACATCTAAACTTTACATCATATCTCCCAGTAGAAGATGAAAAACAGGTTTATGTATTTTCAGCAACAAAAAATGGTTTTGTTAGTGAGTCTTCAGTTCATCCTACTGGTCTTTCAATTTGAAATGAGGTACCTTACCCCCAAGCAGAAATTTATACTGATAAAAATAGAATGAGTCATATTAGAATATGTCATACAAACTATTTAAAAGAACATTAACTGTGTTAAAAAATTATTAAGCATTGCATATGAAGCTATTAAATCCTTTAATCTACTTAAACAAAAGCTAAAGTTTTAGATGGGAAATACACTCCAACAAGCCTACCTCTTATTAAGGAACTAATGCCCAGTCTAGTAACAAAGATATTGTCCAGATCTTCACTTCCTGTGAACAGTTCAGCTACTACATATAAATTGGGTTGCAAATTCCTAGCAGCATCCAACATGTACTGTAAAAAGCACAGCGACAAATGTAACAAATAAATGTAACAAAGAGAAAAGCAAGATAGGAGGAAGGAAGGAAACAAAAGGAGGCATGGATTTCACATAGAAAAATATGCAGCAAGATAAAATGGAAATTCAAGAAGAATTTCCAAATAAAATTTCATTGTACATATGTAAGAAAATATCAAACATACCAAAACACATAGAAACAAGAGAATTTATAAAGAGAAGAAAACAGTTAAAAAGGAAGATTAGATTTTGCAAAGATATTGAGACATGAGAGAGAAAAAGAAGAAAAATGTTAGTTTCATATTACTAAATGTAAATCATAACACTACAATTCTGTTAGGCTTTCTCCCTGTTTGCTTATCTATCTATCTATCTATCTATCTATCTATCTATCTATCTATCTATCTATCTATCTATCTATCTATCTATCTATCTATCTATCTAATTTATTTTTGAGACCGAGTTTCTTTCTTGTTGCCCAGGCTGGAGTGCAATGGCGTGATCTGAGCTCACCACAACCTCTGCCTTCCAATTTCAAGCGATTCTCCCGCCTCAGCCTCCTGAGTAGCTGGGATTACAAGCATGTGCCACCACACCCAGCTAATTTTGTATTTTTAGTAGAGACAGGGTTTCTCCACGTTGGTCAGGCTGGTCGCAAACTCCCAACCTCAGGTGATCCGCCTGCCTTGGCCTAAAAGTGCTGGGATTACAGACGTGAGCCACTGTGCCAGGGCCTATGTGCTTATTTTTAAAACTTTAATCAGACTTAATTTCCAGGTGGTTGACTAAACAATTATTCACAAATTCCCTGATGAATTACGTAGCTGTTGGAAAGATTAGGTCTGCTTGACCAGATTGAAGCCAGTTTCTCCTACAGATGATGATAAAACTCTTAAAAACTCTCATACCTTACAATTTCTACTTGTGTGATTTATATTTAACACTGGTGCTATCTACCTAGCTGTTTATTATAAACACTGGTTTATAATAAAAAATCAGATAGGTTCCAAACTGTTAAACATAACATTTGCACAAAGATTAATAAAATACTTGAAATTCTCTCAGCTAACAAGTAGAATCCTAGTTTTGTAATTTAAAATTAAGTTTGAACATTCTTTTCTGCCATATAATAATCTTAGAAGCATTTTTTTTTTTGCTGTTGCTAAAAGCACAATAAAATAAAGTCGTCATTTTTTGGAACTAGACAATGTTCTATCAGCTTAACTAATGTTCACTAAATCCCTCCAAATCAAATCAATTTTTCATCACAGGACTTGAAACATATACATTATAATACTGCTTTAATATCATACAAATAAGATATTTTTCAGGTAAACACACATTTCCAAAGAACACCTAGGTGACACTGGTCACTAGGAAGCTATCAAAAATCTTACAAGCAGTGCTACTGTAGGGTTTCTAAAACTAATAAATTAAAAAAAATCTTATAAGCAGGATGAAAATTATGAGTTTAATTACAAAGTTGTATTAGATAGAAGGTAATATTGTAAGTATTGGCATTGTTCAGAAGTTATTGTAAAGAGCTCAAAGAGGAATAGACAATGTTTATGTTTACACTTATATTTTTATAAATAATAAAAATTAAATCGATGAGGCTAGACTGGCTTCAATATGCTATAACGTTAATTTTTTTTAAATTTTACTTTATTTATTTATTTTTTTAGACAGAGTCTCACTGTGTCGCTACGCTGGAGTGCAGTGGTGTGATGTCAGTTCACTGCAACCCTCGCCTCCTGGGTTCAAGTGATTCTCTTGCCTCAGCCTCATGAGTAGCTGGCACTACAGGTGCACACCACTATAATGTGTAATAAGCTATTCACCTTCACAGTCACTTCTAAATATATTGAAAGCAACCTAAAAATAAGAAAAATTAACATTTATGTATTTACAGTAGCCAATATACATTTTATGTATTGTAAACACATTTCATGTATTTACAATAGCGCTCCATATTATCAGAAACAATATGATCAACTTCCCTAAATTAAAATTTTAAAATTAACTAGTTAAATATTTTGTAGCCCAGTATTCCATAACAACTGCATCAAAAGATTGTTAGAATTATGTTAATTATGCAATAGTGATAAACACTACCACCAAATCAATGTCAGTGTCCAACTAGCAAAAGGAAACATTTACCTGCATAGTCTACTTAAGGAAAGCTAGGAAAGAACACTGAATTTCTTTTCTTAATGTAGATAAATTGTTTTTCTGTACCTCAGCTACATGAAGAGGTGTTGAGTGGCAGTTATCAAGACGTACTCCCTGGAAATAAGTTGCAGTTATTTCAGTGTATTTTTTCATGTGTGCCCAGAGAAAAGGACAGTCCTCTGGTTTATTCCCATAGCGCAATTTAACACTGTCTCCCCAGCAAATAAGTTCTCTCCTTAGGTAAACTTCTGAGCCTGTTCAGAAAAGAGATTGCTTTCAATAGTTCAAGAAATAAAATGAAAACAATTACTTCATGGAAACACTGATTTTTAAATTGCTTTGATCATTTCTGCCACGAATGATATATTGGTTAAAATTGTATCTAAAGTGGTATGAGATAATGTTTTAAAAAATTAATAATAATTTATTTCTCATAGCTACTCTGAAAAAACTCTAGCTTATAGTTTCTTCTAAAAATGTGTCCTCAATTTCAAAAACCCAAGTCACTTCATAAGGGAAAATAGAAATGTTAATATCATAGGCCTTTCAAAACCATAGTTCTACCAAGACATTTAAAGCTCCATTTCCACCTCCTACTTATTTTCGGCAACAGGTTGTATTAGATCCATGGCATACAGCAGAATGGCTTGATTTTGTTTAGAATGGCTAGAAAAAAGAGGGCAGAGATACTTACACCCAAATTTATACTCTTAAAAAAAAGCATAAGATTTCTGAATAAATTCTGATGTCACTAAAATAGACTTCTAGTTTTGAAATGTTAAAAAATAAATATATCAATTAGCTCCTGCAACATTCTTCCTGGTAATGAAATAGCTATAGAAAAACAAGACACTAAGAATGAGGGGGGACCTCAAACCATTAGGTTCTAGTTTAATTGCCACTGAAATGTTTTAATACCTCTGGCCAATGAGTGAAAATCTCTCTTATGACAATGTATTTGTAATAGCAGTGGTTTCAAACTTGTTTGTAAAAATGCAATAATATTTTGTCCAAATAAAAGCTTACATAGACCCACAGTATAGAAAATAGATACATAAAAGTTATTCCGTTTGAGAGGATAAAAGGTAGGAAGGCAAAGGAGAGGAAAGAAGATGAACTTTTTTATTTGTTGACTCCATGTTTTCTTTCTCAAATTGTATGTACCTCTGGTACCTTTATTGGTGAAATAGTTTAAAAACCAATAGAATAATGGGGAAGAAAATCAATAAAGCAGATTTTATCTTGACCTTGCCATGAACTATTCTTTCCCTATTCATAGAGAAGTTAAAAATTATATACCTGGTTCAGCAAAGTTTCGAAGAGGATCATCTCCCATTACCCATCCGTTGTGTGCCATCAGAAAACAAGCTTTATTTGGGAGATGAATCATAGATTCTTCCACGGAGAAGTCCATTTCTTCAAATGGGAAAGTAAAATACCTATGAAAATATAATTAAATATTAAATCCATACAAAGAAACTCCTTGGAGAGAATATGAATTTGCAACATTAAAACTAAACTTCTTCTCTATTGAATAGAATAAAATTAGTTTGATGCTATTTATAGAAAAAAAGTTCAACATAGGTCAAGAATCTTCAATAGACTTTTTGAGTAAATCTAGTAGAATGTGAGAAATAGGGAGTTAACACAACAGGATAGCTGGCTAACATTTAAAATAATGTTTAAAACTTCATAAAACTATTTTAAAAAATCATGGAGGTAGCCAGGCATGGTGGCTCATGCCTGCAATCCCAGAACTTTGGGAGGCTGAGGCAGGCGGATTACCTGAGGTCAGGAGTTTGAGACCAGCCTGGCCAACATGGGGAAACCCCGTTTCTACTAAAACTACAAAAATTAGCTGGGCATGGTGGTGCACCCCTGTAGCCTGGCTACTTGGGTGGCTGAGGCAGGAGAATCGCTTGAACCCGGGAGGCAGAGGTTGCAGTGAGCTGAGATCGCGCCACTGCACTCCAGCCTGGGTGACACAACGAGACTCCATCTCAAAGAAAAAAAAAATAATTGAGGCATTGATGTTACTTTGCAAAGACGTTTTTAAAAAAGACTCTTAAGTAAAGTTATGCAAAGGCTTTTACTACACTCTAGTTGCCCAACCTATGCTTCATGTCACTTACAAAGTAAGGAGCTAGATGCTTGCTTAAATTGATTAATATTGAATTTATCACTAAGTATGCAGTCCTCCAGAAACATTAAAGTAAATGATAACTATAAATTGGTTCATACTGATGACAGTTTCTCTAACAAAATATTTACCTAATAAAATGAGTTAATATTAAGCCTATGTCCAAATCAAAACTTCTATTTCAATTTAAGAAATGTACTGAAGTCACATGTTAAAGAAAACATTTAGGTTAATTTCAGATGTTAAATACAATTTTCAATGTTCAACCATCAATAAGAAAAAAAAAAAAACAACAAAAATGCAACACCTGGTAACTAAAGGATGCTTTCTAGTGACAGGTCCTAGTTTTGGACCATGGCCAGCCAGTCGTTCATAAAACACATTTCCCAAAAGGCAATTAACTGCCTGAAAAACATTAAATTGTGTTAGATCATCATCATCATCAAGACAACAAAAAAAATAGTAATAAGATGCAAGGAAAAGCAGCAGTTCAAAAATAAGTAAAACCTGTTCCTGATGATAGTTAATGAGTCGATGCTTCTCTGAATTTAATTCCTCAATTCTCTGACGAAACCAATTACAGCATTCTTCAATTGCTGCTGGCCCATTGCTAGAGCAGATGGAGAAATGCAGATATAGTATTTAATGGCTTTACAGATTCTACATTTAAAAACTTTCTAACAAAGGTCACAGAAACCTTAAATATATTTATCAGGATTTCAATTATGGCTGATGATGTTTTTCAATTGTAAAAATGTTTATACACAAATATAGAAACATGGCCAACGCACAGAAAAAGTGGGAAAATGTCATGTGCTGAAATAGTAGAATTACAGTGAATTACTTTATTTCATTTTCTATTAAGCATTTTTAATAAGTAGTATGAAAATCATACAAGCCATAAAGGTTTATAAGTAATATTCTTTATTTCACAGAAAAAAACACATTACATACTCATGTGGTATGAAAGTCGTTAGTGCAATGTTCATATCTACAGTACAGCCAAACCGTCTGTATTCAGGATCTTGAATAATCTTAAGATGTTGGTTTGGATCAGACTTGGTTACTCTCCTATTTTCTAAAAGAAAAAAAGATGGTATCTTAAATGCAACTATCCACAAAGATTATAACTGTTACTATTTTCTAATTTGGGGCCTATAATTTTTTCATTGAAAATAAAACAAGTATTTCACAAGTATCGTTCTACCTCCTCTCCTCATCTTGCTGTGTGTGTACACACACACACACAGACACACACACACACGAGGCGTGTGGAGAAAGAAACACAGAGAGACAAAAATAACATAAAAGAAAGACACAAAGATCCCTATCAATTCAATCCCAGCACCACTTTTCTGCCTACGTCAGCATTCACTTATTCTATTTTTTTTTTAAACACATTAAGGACTTTAGTGGAACGTGTTTTCCTCCCATGTGCTACCAATATTCTAACATTAGGAGTTCTTTTTCAAGATTGCTTTCAAAGTTTGCTTCCTAAAGTCTTATTAACAACCTGACTTTCTTTGTATTCTCTAAAAGAAGCACACAGGCTTAATACTTTCTTTCCCTTTTCATCAACCATATTCCTTAGATAATAACTTAAAAATTAAAAGGGAAATAAATAGTTTTTGGGGAAATTTTCACTCTTTTTCTGGCACTTGTTTGTAATAAAATTAAGAATTGGTACAGGATTGCCTCCATTGAACTTGATTTTATATTAACTAATTAATTTCTATCTGGCTTATTCCAAAGAGACTTTGAAATGGCTTATAAAAACACAAAAAAACATAAAATAATGGGTTTCCATAGTGTAGTGGTTATTCATGTTCGCCTCACAAAACAGCATAAAATACAAATCGATTCTTAAAATCCAGTTTCTAAGGTTCATCTGCAAGAGTAAATATATGAAAACTGCCGCGGGCATGATGGCTAACACCTGTAATCCCAGCATTTTGGGAGGCTGAGGCAGGCGGATCACCTGAGGTCAGGAGTTCGAGACCAGCCAGTTCGAGACCAACATGGAGAAACCCCATCTCTACTAAAAATACAGAATTCGCTGGGTGTAGTGGCACATGCCTGTAATCCCAGCTACTCGGGAGGCTGAGGCAGGAAAATCGCTTGAATTCAGGAAGTGGAGGTTGCAGTGAGCGGAGATCATGCCACTGCACTTCAGCCTAGGCAACAAGAGTGAAACTCCATCTCAAAAAAAAAAAAAAAAAGAACACTGCCAAGAAATGAAATGTTTGAAAAACAGAAAAAGCTATGCCATCAGTATAAACTTTAGTATTTAGTATTTAGTCTTTAGTATTGATAGAATAAAAGAGATGGATCAGTGGAAGAGCACAGACAACAGATGTATATTTTGTATATTACCATACACTATGAAGTATTACGGTGGTACTTCCAATCAGTATAAAAGGATGGATTTTCAACTCAATATAATTTTAAAAATACAGATCAAGTTAAATATCTTCTTTATATAATATACAAAAATAAATTTCAGGTATATTAAATACTCAAATGTAAAAATACAAATTAGAAGAAAAGAGAATGTTGATGGAAGGTCTTTTCTAAGCATGATATAAAATTGGAAGCCATCAGAAATTGAAAAGTTTGACTACATTGAAAAAAAATGTCACCATAAACAAGAGTTGAAAGATCAAGAGCATCCTAGGAGGATATATTTGAGGCCTGTGTAATAATCAATAATAATGTCAATATAAAAAACAGACAACTCAATAGAAAAATGAGAAGAAACATTAACGGCAATTAATGGAAGAAATATAAATAGCTAATTAACATGTAAAAATATACTTCATTAATAAGCAAATAAATGTAACTTAAAAGGCTGGGCACGGTGGCTCACGCCTGTAATCCCAGCACTCTGGGAGGCCGAGGCAGGCGGATCATGAGGTCAAGAGATCGAGACCATTCTGGCCAACATGGTGAAACCCTGTCTCTACTAAAAATACAAAAATTAGCTGGGTGTGGTGGCGCATGCCTGTAGTTTCAGTTACTTGGGAGGCTGAGGCAGGAGAATCACTTGAACCTGGGAGGTGGAAGTTGCAGTGAGCTGAGATCACACCACTGCACTCTAGCCTGGTGACAAAGCGAGACTCCATCTCAAAAAAAATAAATAAAAGAAAGAAATGTAAATTAAAATAAGGTTATGTTTCGCCTCATTGACAAACATGATAAAGGTTAATGATATCTAACGTTAGTGATAATATTAAGTTGGTATAACTTGCTGTGAAAATAAATTTATTATATTTGAAATCTATATACCCTTTGACTCAATAATTCCATGTTTAACAATTTATCCTTCAGATTGACTCACGTAAGCAAGTAAACATAACATGTACGGGGACGTATTTTCTGCAAGTACAGCTTATGAGACTGGAAGTTTATCCAGGGAAAGGACTTTGTTCTGTTTACCACTGAATCCTCATGCCTGGAGGAATGTCTAGCACACAGCAGTAGGTGGTTCAATGAATATGCATTGAATGAATGAATGAAAAATGAAAAATCTGGAAACAACCTATCAAAAAGGCTAACTAAATTCAAGTACTTTAAAAACAGCATATTGCTATACAGAGGTTAAAAGAAATAATTAGCTATAAATTTATATTGTCAACTAAAAGAACAAGTTGTTGACGGTTTATGTTCTAGTCTTATTTGCATGTGTAAAAATAATATAAATATAAAACTTATACACATACCATATATAGAATTACATACAATTATATATCAAATTGAATTTTTTTCAAGAAGAGTCTTAAATACAAGAAACAATATGTAGTAGCTGAGATGTGGGTTTTGGGAGAGAGGAGGTCATACATTCTATTTTCTTACACATTCGAACTATTGGGCTTTTTCTCTTTATAATGAGCACATATTATTTCATGTAAATAATACAGCTTACTGGGGGAAGGGAAGACAGAGGCCCTTTAGTAAAATGAAACAGGAAAAAGGTTAATATTAAAAATTCCTGTACTAAGGTGTTACACAATTGCAAAAGTTGATATATGAAGCTGACTGAGGATCCTAGAGCTCATTCTATTTCAAAGGCACTATTTCTGAGTCCTACTCTAGTTCTGTTTTCTGGAAGAGAAAAAAATATTTATTTTAAGATCTTCTCCAAATCCTCACTGCTAGGCTGTCCTACATGAAATGCAGATAGCTCTTAATAATCCTTTCTAATTTGTCTCCTACAAACCCTATTTCTCATTTCACCTATTTTTTCCTACCCTATTTTGTTGGGGGCACATTACCTTCTTGATTAGTTATGTCCTTAACAGAAGACTCACTTCGTTACCTTTTGTTATCTCACCAATATCTGGCTTCAGTATCACTAGTGGTTAGGTGGCCTTAATAGTGGGGAAAATCAGCTGGAAGCCCCTCTATGTCAGTTAAGTTTCTTACTATAGACAACAGGAGACTATCACATCTCTCAGTTTCAAAACTTGTTTCAAGCCATTCTCAGTTGAAATAACCTGTTCTACCTACTTCCCATTCATACATTTAATAACTATATACTGGGTTCCACAGAATTCTGAGCATTCTATGGAACTAACAGTAAGATACAGTACCCAGGGGAAATAATTGTGTTATGTGTTATTATGACGTGCCCTTTAGATGTCTCTGCTAACTCTCAGCTTACAGAATCACAGTTTTATAATATCAACAATAACACAAATATCATACAATGACATATTTAATAATGACATTACGCAAGAGAGTTTTCCCTTTATAATATTAAATTTCTTAAAATTGATAGGAACATTCTAGCATATATCCTTTACCTTGTGTAAGAAGTCTTCTAAATTGCTCAACTGCTTTGTTGACGTCTACTTGGAAAAATTCCCAGAGTTTAAGCTTTGGAAAAATATCCTCCCAAATCATTTTTCGGATGGACTGAAAAATGTCAATAGTTAAAAAACACATATATACATATATTTATTTCAAATCATTTAACCAAATACTGTTTATCATATTAAAATACAGATTGTAAGTAATTTTCAAACATATATTTAATGTGTACTTTAGAAATTTTTTCTGTTTTAGTGTGATACTCCTCTGTACATACTGACATTCATATGGTGATCATTTTCAATCAAAGCAGGTATTCCCTTTTCTTTGTATTTCCCTTCTGCAACATCACAGGAAAAACGCCAAAGTGCTCTGTCTAAAACCCAGGCAGGTTTTAAGTGTGGAGAATTCACAAGATTATAGGCACATTCTGGATGTTCCTGGATCCATTTACTATTAGCAGCTGAAGGAAAAAGGAGACACAAAGGAGTATCTCATAATTAAATTGAAACTGTATCTATGTTAAGTTTAGAGGTGAAATAAAATAGAAACATCTACCACCACTCATTTTTTTCTATATTAGATATCAATATTTTACAATGATACTGTTATAGGAAACATTTTTTCTTTGGTTATGGTATCCTATCATTCGCTTCACCATACTTTTTTTTTTTTTTTTAAACTTTAATTCTGCTTAGAAAATCCGATGCAACAAAAAGCAACTCTCTCATAGGTAATACTTTTGTATGGCTAATCCTAAAGCATTAATGAAATATGTTGTTTTGATAAGTTGGATAAAAGCGAGGCTGAGAAAGTGCTAAAAGAAATATGCTCAAGGAATATGAATCTAGCTTACAGTTCAGAATCAGAATCAAGAGTTTGGCAAAGTATTCCAAATATTTACAGCATTGAAGATAATTTGTTTTGGCCAGGCATGGTGGTTCAACCCCAGCACTTTGTGGGAGTGGAAGTAGGATAGCCTGCAGGAGTTCAAGACCAGCTTGGGCAACAAAGTGAAACCCTGTATCTACTTACTTTAAAAAAGATAATTTGTTTTAATTTTAAAATAAAAAAAGAAAGTTACATGGAATTTGTTTGATCTTTAAAATGGACTAATTATCCCTGAATTCATATTGAAGAGCATGAGTGATTAATGTACATAAAACAAAAAGTAGTAACAATTACTGAATATTTACCACATACCAGAAATTGTTCTAAGCAGTTAAATACGCCAATTTATTATTCCTCACTTCCTACCACACAAATTAGGATGTACTGTTAAGTTCTCTTAACAAATGAGGAACTGAAGCATGGAGAGTTAAGTAACTCAGCCCGAGTCATACAGTCAGGAATTAACTTGGCCAAGTCCTTTTTCAGAATGTGCAATCTTAACCGCATTGCTCTGCTGCTGAGATGAACGTGTTCATGCTTCATTCACTCAGCTGAGCACTCTTATATAATTTTACAATCATTATTATTTCTAGTTTCAGTCATTTGTTTATTAAATCATTTATTTACTTAGTATTTATTCATACCCATAATAAACACTCAGATGAAGAGAGGCTATGTAAGGAGCAGAGAAGTTGTAATAAAAGTTAAACTGGTAATTCTCAAAACTTGCATCAAGATAGTTCCTCCGAGATTCATCAACACAATCATTGAAATTCAAGGTATTTTTCAAAAACACAAAATGTAGTAATAACTTATATCCAAATAGGATTTTCACTTATAAAGAATAAACACTGGGGCTAGGTGCGCTGGCTCACGCCTGTAATCCCAGCACTTTGGGAGGTCGAGGAGGGAGTATCACTCGAGCCCAGGAGCTGGAGACAGCCTGGGCAACATAGTGAGACCTCATCTCTACAAAATCTTTTAAAAATTAGCTCAGCATGGTGGCATGTGCCTAAAGTCCCAGCTACTCAGGAGGTTAAGGTGGGAGGGCTGCTTGAGCCCAATAAGTGGAGGCTGCAGTGAACTGAGATGGTACCACTGCACTACAGCCTGGGTGACATATAGAATGAGACCCTGTCTCAAAAAAAAAAGAGAATAAATACCAATGCTGCCCTCATTCATTCATTTAGTTTTGAGACAGGGTCTTTCTCTGTCACCCAGGAGTGCAGGAGTGCAGTGGTGCAACCATAGCTCACTGCAGCCTTGAGCTCAAGTGATCCTCCTGCCTCAGCCTCCCAAGTAGTCAGGACGACAAGTGTATGCCAACACACCCTGCTAATTTAAATTTTTCTTTTTTTTTGAGACAGAGTCTTGCTTTGTCACCCAGGCTGGAGTACAGTGGCACAATCTCGGCTCACTGTAACCTCCACCTCTTTGGTTCAAGTGATTCTTCTGCCTCATCCTCTGGAGTAGCTGGGATTACGGGCACCCAGCACCATGCCCGGCTAATTTTTGTATTTTTAGTAGAGATGGGTTTTCACCATATTGTCCAGGCAGGTCTCGAATTCATGACCTCAGGTGACCCATCCGCCACGGCCTCCCAAAGTGCTGGGATTACTGGTGTGAGCCACTCCATCCATCCCCAATTTTTAAAATAGCAAAATCCTAAAACTGTTTCTTTTCTCAATATTTTGAAACAAAAATCAACTGTAAAATGAAAGAATTCTAAACAACAGGTAGTGAAAATATTTTTTTCTAATTCTACATGAAAGAAGAGTCAAACTCCAAACTATATTTTAACACACATCAACATTAAAAAATAAATGTGGACTTTTGGAGTGATACAGGAAGAAACTCAACAAACACTGTCCCCAGCAAAACAATTTGACTGGTGAAAATATTTTAAAAACAATCATTTAGTCCCTGGAAATTATCCTAGGGCATTCAGCATAAGGAGAAACATTCTTGGCATTTGAACCAAGACCTTTTCCAGGGCAACTGGGTTCCCAGTGTTCTTGGCCTGCTACATCTGGGAAAGGATGTCAGCTCTGCAAGTAGGGGCTGGGTGGAGAAAGGGAGATTTTTCTCCACCTACCTACTTGGAATAGAACTTCTGCAACATGGCCGGGTGCGGTGGCTCACCCCTGTAATCCCAGCACTTTGGGAAGCCAAGGCGGGGTGGATCACCTGAGGTCAGGAGTTTGAGACAAACCTGGCCAATATGACAGGACTCCATCTCTACTAAAAATATAAAAATTAGCCAGGCGTGGTGGCTCATACCTGTAATACCAACTACTCGGGAGGCTGAGGCATGAGAATCACTTGAACCTGGGAGGTGGAGGCTGCAGTGAGCTGAGATTGTACCACTGCACTCCAGCCTGGGTGACAGAAGGAGACTCTGTCTCAAAAAAAAAAAAAAAAAAAGAGAAAAAAAAAAGAACTTCTGCAAGACAGGGCCGGCAGGGAGAATTAGAAACACTCATAGACTGTGCCTCTTAGGGTGAAACTGTAACCCCAGGCTGGAAGTTGGGAGGAGAGAATGTCTCCTCTTGACCACACCTACCAGGAGTGGTGCGCCTGTGATAGAGCTTCCATAACAGAGGCATCTGTGTAAGATAATGGAGCAGGTCTTGGTTCAATCACCAAGGATACTTGTTCTTATTAAGATGTAATAGATTTTCGCCGGGCGCGGTGGCTCAAGCCTGTAATCCCAGCACTTTGGGAGGCCGAGACGGGTGGATCACGAGGTCAGGAGATCGAGACCATCCTGGCTAACACGATGAAACCCCGTCTCTACTAAAAAATACAAAAAACTAGCCGGGCGAGGTGGCGGGCGCCTGTAGTCCCAGCTACTCGGGAGGCTGAGGCAGGAGAATGGTGTGAACCTGGGAGGCGGAGCTTGCAGTGAGCTGAGATCTGGCCACTGCACTCCAGCCTGGGCGACAGAGCGAGACTCCGTCTCAAAAAAAAAAAAAAAAAAAAAAAAAAAAAAGATGTAATAGATTTTCGTATGTTTCTCCATATGCTAAATGTCCATAGGACAATTTCCAGGGGATTTAAGTGATTGTCTTCAAATAATTTTCACCAGTTAGGGTTGTTTCACTGCATAAAGTGTGTGAAGCCTTCACATAACCATTCTGGAGGCTGAATTCTGCTAGATAATACTTTTTTTTTTAAAAGAAAACTTGTTTCACAGAAAGGATATTATGATTTGCAACACTTTTCAAGTAAGGCTGTGGCAAGGTTTACTTCTTGTACGTTGCATAGAACCTCACAAATGTCTCAGAAATATAGTTTGTGGCAGAGACTGCTGCTGTACTCAATTTTATTCTCTCATTCTTTCTTTAGTAATAAAATTCCCAAGGTTCAACTTTACACATAGCTGACAAATTCAAGACTACATTGCAGGTCTCCTTTAAGGTAGGTATGGCAAGAGACAAATTCCTGTGACGCAATGTGAACACGGTAATATATATCATATCATACCCGAAAAGACAGGCCTGCCCTTTCCCCATTTCCACTGGGGAGAATGTGGTAGCAGGAGCTGGAATAGCCATATCTGACTAAGAATTTGAAGCAAAGTGTTGGAGACTGCTGAGCAACATGAGAGAAATTAGTTCCCTATCACCACTGAACTACCATTCTAGTCCAGGAATGCCTATTTAATCTTTCAGTAAGAAATAAATACAATTTTAGCTGTTAGTCCCTATATTTTTCTGTTACAGCTGCTTAAGCCATATCCTAACTCATACAATTTGTAACTCATAAAATGCCATTATGTGGTTTGATAAATTTGATTTCAATAATATTACAGATCTCAAAGTGATTATCAAGACTGTCAAATTTTCCTTTAATTTTTTTACATTATTTTGTAAGAGATGGGGTCTCATTATGTTGCTAAGGCTGGTTTCAAACTCCTGGCCTCAAGTGATCCTCGCACTTCAGCCTCTCAAGTAGCTGGGATTACAGGCGCAAGCGACAGCACCTGGCTTAATAATGTCAAATATTCACGTGAAGAATACTGAGTTCTTGGGTATTGCAAAGTTTTCACTGTAGAATTGGAGGCTTGGTTTCTAGGTACATGCAGAAACACCAAATTTTAGAATGTACCTATTTCTTTACCTAACTTTGCCATTATGATTAGAGATTTTTATTTATATTGATGAACCAGATATATAAGCTTTTAAATATCTTCATAGTTCCTATGGTTACTTGGAGAACTGTTTTATGAAACAGCAGATTATATCTTTTAAATGTTTGTACCAACTAGAATTCTTGTTCTTTACATATGCAAAACAGTGTTTTCCAAACTTTTCTACATTGTAGCATACATCCAAGATAACATTTGTAAGGTAAACTGGGTTAAACCCAAAGCTGCTCACGGCCAGGCTTTGTCAGGCTAGGCCAGGCCTTGTCAGGCTAGGCCAGGCCAGGCTCAGCTCCTCTGACAGGTGAGGTGAGGAACCATTTCCTCAAGGATCGCTAGCTGGAAAAATCTGATATATTTTAATAGAATTATATATCACTAAGGAATCTTGGGAACCAAAACAGACTAACTTTAATAAGCTCTTTTAACATGTAGAAGACATAATTTCCAGATACACCTTCTGAGAGTTTACTAATAAGTTTCTCTCCAAATAATAGAAGTCATTTAGTTTTTTAATATATGCTATAGCACTACAGTACTAGAGCTCCTGCTAATATAGGATCCATGTGTTATTTGAGAAAGTATTAACAGAGTAGTCCCCTCTTATCCTTAAAGGATACCTTCCAAGACTCCAAGTCAATGTGTTAAACTATAGATAGTATCAAACCCTACATATATATTTTTTGATATTTTGTTTTTTTGATCTGATAACTGAGCAGGCTATTAAGTGACTCGTGGGCAGGTAGTGTTTACAGCATGGATGCACTGGACAAAGGGATGAGTCACAATCCAGGTGGGAGAGAGCAGGATGGCATGGGAGTTCATCATGTTACTTAAAACAGCATGAAAATTAAAACTTACGAATTGCTTATTTCTGGAATTATTCAATATTTTTGAAATGTGACTGACTGCAGGTAACTGAAACCTCAGAAAGCAAAACTGTGAATAAGGGGGGACTACTGTACTCTAAGTTGAAATATGTGATCATTATGTTCCTTCTATGATCACTCTCCTGTATTTATAAACATCAGACGCAAGATACTTATATATTGACTTTATCCTCAATTAAGAATGTTTTCTTTGAAAGGAAAAATACTAATTTTTTAAATGGAAGGACACCTAATCATCATTTGTGTTTTTAAAATTTATGTTAGCCCCTTTCCTTTCCCTTTCTTTCCTCCCTTCCCTTCTCCTGTTTGTGTGTGTATGTGTGTGTGTATAAATTCTCATCAAAATTAATAAAGGCAGTCAATGAAGCTCATACCAGTATGATTGTAGACAACATCAGTAATACAAATAATATTCCATTCCTTTTTTAATTTTTCCACTAGCTGTCCAACATCATTCCAGGTATACTTTCTATTAGGTCTTGAAAAGTCAGGATTTAATTCTAACTGATTGGCAAGGGAGTAGGATGACCTAGATAGTCCAAGAGTCTGCAATGGGGTAAAATGAATCATGTTGTAGCCTGCAAAACAAATAAAAACCACTGTAAAAACAAACAAACAAAACCAGCCTAAAATGAAGAAAATATAAATTTAAACTTTCTTAATTATAAATAGCAAGGCAAGCATGCTACTAAAAAAGAAGTCAAACACTTGGGTTCCAATACCAAGAGTTTAACAGACTTTAAGCAAGTTTATTTAAATCTTTCAAGATATCAGTGTCCTTATATACAAGACAGAGATAATGAGGTAATATTTGAAAAAATTCACACATACTGCCTATTAGAAAATGTATATACTTACGTGTAGTAAATCTATCCTCTACGAGTATATCAACATATGTCTTTCAGCTACTTTTAATGTTCCATAGTACTTGTATTGTTTTAGTTATGTCAGTGAACTTCTCATTCCTTTCTTCATATATTATTCAATTTAAAAGCAGAAAATTAAAATTGAGATCAGGTGCAGTGGCTTGCACCTGTAATTCCAGCACTTTGGGAGGCCAAGGCAAGAGGACTGCTTGAGCCCAGGAATTCAAGACCAGCCTGGGCAACACAGTGCGACTTTTGTCTCTACAAAAAATAGATCAGGCCACTGCACTCCAGTCTGGGTGACAGAGTGAGACCTTGTCTTAAAATATATATATATGGCTGGGCACGGTGGTTCATGCCTGTAATCCCAGCACCTTGGGAAGCTGAGGTGGGCATATCACTTGAGGTCAGAAGTTTGAGACCAGCCTGGGCAACATGGTGAAACCCCATCTCTACTAAAAATACAAAAATTAGCCAGGCGTGGTGGTGCATGCCTGTAATCCCAGCTACTAGGGAGGCTGCAACACAGGAATTACTTGAACCCAGGAGGCTGCAGTGAGCTGAGATTGCACCACTGCACTCCAGCCTGGGTGACAGAGTCAGACCCTGTCTCAAAACAAAACAAAACAAAACAAAACAAAACAAAAAAAACAAAAACAAAGAAAAGAAAAAATTAATCTTGCCCTTTGCTTAAGAGCAAAATACAACTTAAGTTTCATTTTGCTCTTGATATGGATGATAGCATACGTCTTCTACATAAAAGATGGTTAAGCAATGCTTGTTGAATTAAAATGATATATAATGATAACACATTTTCCTTCACTTTTCAATAGCTTACTTCTGATTTTTATATGGTAAAGTCCTAGAAATGATAATTATTTCATTATGGAGTTCTTTCATTTCTTAAGATGAACCACAAAATTTGCCATTTTTATAGGTTAAAAATGGTTAAGTATCAAAAATTTAATATGGGCTGGGTGCAGTGGTTCATGTCTATAATCCCAGCACTTTGGGAGGCCGAGGCAGGTGGATCACGAGGTCAGAAGTTTGAGATCAGCCTGGCCAACATGGTGAAACCCCGTCTCTACTAAAAATACAAAAATGAGCTGGGCTTGGCGGTGGGCACCTGTAATCCCAGCTACTCAGGAGGCTGAGGCGGGAGAATCATTTGAACCCAGGAAATGGAGGTTGCAGTGAGCCAAGATCACGCCATTGCACTCCAGCCTAGGTGACAGGGCAAGACTCCATCTCAAAAAAAAAAAAAAATTTTTTTAAAATATGGTTCTATCTACTTATATTACCAAATATAATAAGAAACAAAATTAAACGTAAAGGCAAAAGATATGGTTTGGATTTGTGTCCCTGCCCAAATCTCACTTCAAATTGTAATCCCCAGTGTTGCAGGAAGGGCCTGGTGAGAGAAAGCTGGTGGATTTCCCCCTCGTTCTCATGATAGTGAGTGAGTTTTCACAAGATCTGGTTGTTTAAAAGCATGTAGGAGGCCGGGCGCGGTGGCTCAAGCCTGTAATCCCAGCACGTTGGGAGGCCGAGACGGGCGGATCACAAGGTCAGGAGATCAAGACCATCCTGGCTAACATGGTGAAACCCCGTCTCTACTACAAAATACAAAAAAACTAGCCGGGCGAGGTGGCGGGCGCCTGTAATCCCAGCTACTCGGGAGGCTGAGGCAGGAGAAGGGCGTGAACCCGGGAGGCGGAGCTGCAGTGAGCTGAGATCTGGCCACTGCACTCCAGCCTGGGCGACAGAGCGAGACTCCATCTCAAAAAAAAAAAAAAAAAAAAAAAAAGCATGTAGGACCTCCTGTTTTGTTCTCTTCCTCCTTCTCCAGCCATGTAAGACGTGCCTGCTTCCCCTCTGCCTTCTGCCATGACTGTAAGTTTCTTGAGGCCTTTCCAGCCATGCTTCCTGTACAGCCTGCAGAACTGTGAGTCAAACCTCTTTTCTTTATCAATTACCCAGTCTCAGGTAGTTCTTTATAGCAATGAGAGAATGAACTAATACACAAAACTTTTGAAATCTGTATCACAGAGGATAATTACATTTATTTTTTTAAATAAGAAAAAGCAAGCTGACATTACCTGATTCTTTTGCAACCCTAAGTCTGCTTTCCCATTCATCAAAAGGTCCCAAACACTTAGCTAAAAATGTCTGAAGAGTAACACAGTCCAAGGGTAGCATATGATTATCAGCACCAACACGTAAAATGGGGTCCACAACTATGTAACCTCCACCACTTTTCTCATTTCTAAGGGAAAAAACAAAACAAAAACTTTTCAGTCATTGATAGAAAAATAATCCTCATATAATATAGTCTCACTCTAACTAAAAGGTTAATTGTCCCAAATAAAATATATTTATTTCTAAGCACATAAAATCATTTTAAAAGTTGCAACAAAACTTAATGGAAAAGCTACTTTTACCCTTTCACAATCTACATAATTACATGTATAATACACAAAATATCCAATAATGTTGGTTTCATGAAAAATAAGTATACTAAAACCTATCAGTAATAACAACGGCATGCAAATAAACAGCAACCTATAATCAGATTGCATGAAATGACTACAGTTTTTAAGATGTTACTTAAAATACATTTACATGATACTTTAGCTCTGCAATGGGCCATACAATTACCTCCTAGAAATCAAAGAATATTCCATTTGCATCTCAAGGAAGCATTGTAAAAATTGCACTGCCATGGTTCATACAGTAACATTTACAAGTTAGGTAACTTCAAATTACAGAATAAATTAACTTTTTTTTTCTCACAAACAAAACACCTGACTTACCCTTGAAGGAAATAATACTGAAATGAACCAGATTGTTGCAGATTAAGTTTACAGTATTTATCAGAATCATCTTCTCTTTCTGTTGGATTTTCCCAATCCAGAGAACGGAATTTTTGTCTATTAAATGTTTCTCCAGGAAATGGGTAATTTGTAAACACGGTAACTGCTTTTCCCTGTAAAGTTGGGCCTAATCGGAACTGTAGTTCAAACCCTAAATAAAAAGCACATTTTAATAAACTCATTGTAGGACTTAAATTACCATGATTGAAAAAATACATGTTTTATTTAAAAAAACCTTGATTTTTCAATTATGTTTAACATAACTCCACAAACCTAATGCTGTTTTGGCACTACTTTGTATTCCAATTTAGCTGAATTTCATATTTTAGCAAGTATAGTAAACATCATAGAGCTGTCTGCTCTGTAATGTCTCTTTCTCCTTCCCCTGGAAACTCAATCCCATTCACATAGCAACTCTGGGATGTGCAAATTTTTATACAACCCCATTTACCATGATCCCCCATCCTCAACCCTGAATTAAGTACCCAATGGTGGGCATCTGAGGAGAGGCCTTCTCTAGTATTTTTCTAACTGCAACAGAGAAAGCTGGTTTCTCTATGGTGTCAGAAAGTATGTGATAGTATGTAAAACTTGGGAGCTGCCATGGGACAATTATCTCACTATACTGAGAAAGCTAGTCTTCACTGACAGAAGTCAACCTCTATAGAGGCAGAATTCAGGATTCTAACAGGAGTTCTGAAGGCAACTGAACCTGATTGATGTCTGCTCAAGTCCAGTGATGTGCTAATAAAGATTTAGCAACTGACTAGGGTGGTGGGAACCTCTGACTTGGAGTGTTTGCTGACTTTCTGGTGGAAATAATCCTGACGTGGACAATCTTAAGCTACCAACATGACAACATTGAACGTGGAAGTGGGAAGGGATGTGCACAATCAGCTCTTGTGAGCCAGCATAAGCACCTCCAACACACTACTGCTTATATCCCTATGCTTCATGGTTTAGTTCTTAAAGCTGTTCTTGTAATCCTGAGAGCCAATGCATTTACTTCTACTTTTGCCCAAGTTAGGTTATTTTTTAAAAAACATACCTTAGACTTGTGCATTGTGCTGCAAGTATTTTGCCATAAGAGAAAACAAATAAGCACATTACAGTTAAAACTGTACTGTGAAAGAAACGTTTTGGTTGGTTTAAAGCAGACTTTAAACTTCCTTTACAATTATTAGAATATGAAAATACTATGGTCAAGTCTATTAGAAATATAATACATATAAATGTTAAACATGAATATAACTTTCAATTAGTAATGGGCAATAATAACTGATGAGGCAGGGAAGTTTAGTTCCACTGAGTAAAATCTTTAGTATCTAAGGAATTTCTTTGAGAGGAAAAAAACTTTTATATATTTAATATATATTATTTATAATTTATAATCCTTGATTTATTAAACATCCAACAAAGTAATAAAAGAGGATATACTAACAGGAATATTTTCTGTGAAGAAAATACTTCAGTAAGAGACACTAAGAGAATGCTGTATAATGAAACTAAGAATTTCTTCTCTAAGCAACTACATGTACTTTTTCTATAATATAATTTGGCATTAATATATTAAGGATGTTTATATTTTTTGATCTAGGAATTTTATATAGATTTTTTGAGAAAAGTATCAGTGATATAAACAGCGATTATGTATAAAGATATTTATCACAGCCTCATTTATTGAAATTAAATAAACTGACAACAACCTAAATATCTAATGATTCGCAATGATTAAATAAATTATGGTAAATCTACAAGTTGGCATAGTATAAAGCCATTACAAATCATGTTATCAAAAGATATTTGGCCAGATACAATAGCTCACGCCTGTAATCCCAACACTCTGGGAGGCCGAGGCAGGAGGATCACCTGAGGTCAGAAGTTTGAGACCAGCCTGACCAACATGGCAAAACCCTGTCTCTACTAACAATGCAAAAATAGCTGGGTGTGGTGGTGTCCACCTGTAATCCCAGCTACTTAGGAGGCTGAGGCAGGAGAATTGCTTCAACCCAGGAGGCAGAGGTTGCAGTGAGCCAAGATCGCGCGACTGCACTCCAGCATGGGTGACACAGTAAGACTCCATTAAAAAAAGCAATAATAATAACTACTTTTAATTTATTTTATTTTGTTACATTTTACATATTTATGTAGAGCTTTTAAAATATCTTCTGGAAAAAAGCATGGCTGAAACGTGGCAGTAGGCAGGGAGGTAGAGTACGTATACCATACTACTACTACAAATAGGGGAAAAAGGCAGGTTACAACATTGTTTAGATAGTATAATCCTAATTTTTTAAAAACAAAACACAGTAAAAATGCTTTTTATACATTTTCATAATTTTATAATTGGGGAAATCATTCTAAAATTAGAGTTACAATTATGAAGGGATAGACTAAGAAATAATTACACAAAGAATTAAAACATGAACTAAAATATTTAGTGACTGAGAAGCATAAACATTTACATCTCACAAGAATGACTAAATTTATCATTAGGAGAAATAGTGTCATTTTGAACAAGTACAAATAGCAGAGATTAGCTGTCTGGGTATATGTGTACAACCTGTCCCCATTAAGTTTATACAAATATTGTTTTTACAATTACACAAGGATTCAGAGAATTTGCAGTGCAAAGGTTAAAACTCATCTAAAATCTCCAAAATAGTATTTGGATCAGTGCTCTACCTTCAGGAAAAAACCCCAATAATTCCCAAACTAAGTCCTTTATTTCTATAATATATATGTTCTAATAGATTATGTAAATTACCAAACACAAAAGTTAACTTAATGAGATAAGATATAAATGAAATAAATAATATACTTTAGTTCTCACTAAAAATTAATACTGATAATATCTCTCAGTGAAAACAATGTAACTAAATAAATTTCATTACCTTAAAAAGTCTTGATTTTAATATTTTATAATAAAGTGATTCAAAGATTTCAAGTTCTGTTTATTTTGGGTAAAATCATACAATGATGGAAGAAGCATTTCTAAAAATATATATTCAAAATGCTTTCGCTATAGCAAGGGCTGGCAAAGTATATCCAGCCCAATCCCCATTTCTGTAAATGAAGTTTTACTGGAACACAGCTACATCCATTCATGTATGTTTGCCTATGGCTGCTTTCCTGCTACAATAGGAGTCGAGTCGCTGCAATAGGGAATGCGTTGCCTGAAGAGCTACAAAGATTTGCGATCTGAACTTTTACAGGAAAATATGTGCCAAACTCTGCTCCGCCGCATCAATTTCCTTCAAAAAAGCACTTAACTTTCTCACTCATGTTTACATCAAAGAGTTAAGTTTTTATTTTTTCTGAAAATATTTTCTAAGTATCATACTATCTAAGACTACTTGCTATTCCTGAAAAGGACAAATCTCAAACACTTTCTAACTCATCTTTTAAGTTTGATCACTTCTGTGAGGTAAAAGAACTATTCTTGGTTACTCTACTTCTCCTTATGAAGTAATATAGAGACTCCGTTATTTAAGATAATATAACCTGTAAAGCTACTTAACCTAGCTTAAGTAAAAGTGCAATTCATGGCAACATACTGCAAACAAATGAGGGTGTGATTGTCAACCCCTTCCAGACCTATAACCTCTACGTTATCTTCTGAGTATGCCTTTTTTGTTCATAACTTACCTGACATACAAACTGAGAGTGTAATTCATATATTAACATAATTCAATGTTGTTAACACAGACTGAAAAACTAAAATAGGTAGAAAGAAAATAAAAGAAAGGGAAGAAGGAAGGAAGGAAGGAAGGAAGGAAGGAAGGAAGGAAGGGAGGGAGGGAGGGATAGATGTTACATTTTCCTTCTGTAGCCCAATAGATATATCAGCACATACCCCGAGGGATACACAGCCACTCTGTAGACCTCTAATGCAAATCACTGAAACTAAAATTTTTATATACAGTAAATGAAACATCAGAGGACCTAGAGTAGGTCAGATTCCATGACTAAGTTTGTTAAAATTAGCTGAGGTCATAGCAGTACATGGTGTGGCTATCTTATTCCTCATACTAACGCTAGGATACTTTACTTGTATTAGCCATATCTCTCTTGTAGGCAACTAGCATGATGAGGGATTAAACTATTATTGTAAATAAGTATGTTCTATCTTTTCCCCTCCACTCAATTTATAGAAACTCAATCTAATCAAAGAACCTTTATGTATAAATGTTTTCTTTAAAAAATAGTAAAAATTATAAATTTCATCAACCTATTTAAAAGATGGAAGAATTTCAGATTTGGGAAGTACTTATTTTGTTCACTCTTTTTTTTTTTTTTTTTTTTGAGACTGAGTCTCGCTCTGTTGCCCAGGCTAGAGTACAGTGGCATGATCTTGGCTCTCTGCAACCTCTGCCTCCTGGGTTCAAGTGATTCTCCTGCCTCAGCCTCCTGAATAGCTAGGACTACAGGCGCATGTCACCACACCCGGCTAATTTTTGTATTTTTGGTAGAGATGGGGTTTCACCATGTTGCCCAGGCTGGTCTTGAACTCCTGATCTCAGGTGAACCACCCACCTCGGCCTCCCAAAGTGCGGTATTACAGGAGTAAGCCACCGTGTCGGGTCTGATTTTATTCATTATTCTACCACTAAATGAGATAGGAAATAAAAGAAAAAGCTATGATTTTGTCTAGGAAAGATCATTATTTAGTCTTGTACTTGCTGAATTGGAAGAATCTATAGAAATATCAGTCTTAAAAACGAGGAGGAATTCCCTCTTGTAGAAAAGAGAGAAGGAAACAAATACGAGGGCTTTGGTGACCAATTAAATATGAAAGAGCCAAAAATTGCCAGTTTTTCTTCACATTTGATTGGTTACCAAGTCCTCTGAACTTTAAAATAACTCATACTTTGTCCTCTCTTTTTCTTTTCTTTTTTTTTGAGTCGGAGTCTCGCTCTGTTGCCCAGGCTGGAGTGCAGTGGCATGATCTCGGCTTACTGCAACCTCTGCCTCCTGGATTCCAGCGATTCTCCTGCCTCAGCCTCCTGAGTAGCTGGGATTATAGGCACCCACCACCATGCCTGGCTAATTTTTGTATTTTTAGGAGAGACAGAGTTTCACCATGTTGGCCAGGCAGGTCTCAAACTCCTGAACTCAGGTGATCCGCCTGCCTTGGCCTCCTAAAGTGCCAAGATTACAGGTGTGAGTTACTGCGCCTGGCCTTGTCCTCTCTTTTTCAACTCAGACTGTTAAACCCTTTTCTTTAACCAGATGTGTTTTTAAAATAGCCTTCTCAATGCTTCTTGTCTCCAATGTCCCTTCTCTTCAACTCATCTTTCACATTTCAAATTATCTTCTAAAATAATATGATCACACCATTACTGCAAAAATAGGTGACATATTCTCATTTATAACATTTGGACATATTTACTGGTTTTAACCAGAGTTATAAAGTCAACCACATCATTCTTTTTTCATAAATTCTTCACATTTCCCTCTTCAAATAAGTTAGCTGAATTTATAATTTTTGCTAGTTTTAACTAGAGTCTTAGTAATAAATCAACAAGTATTTAACTGTTGTACACTGCACTAGATTTGTAAGGTTGTCCTTATCCTCACAGAATTTTTATTTTATTTTATTTTTTTTGCTTTATATATTTTTTAAGACAGAGTTTTGCTCTTGTTGCCCAGGCTGGAGTGCAATGGCGTGGTCTCGGCTCACTGCAACCTCTGCATCCCAGGTTCAAGCGATTCTCCTGCCTCAGCCTTCCAAGTAGATGGGATTACAGGCATGTGCTACCACACCTGGCTAATTTTTGTATTTTTAGTAGAGACGGGGCTTCACCATGTTGACCAGGTTGGATGGTCTCGAAATCCTGACTTCAGGTGACCCACCTGCCTTGGCCTCCCAAAGTGCTGGGATTACAGGTGTGAGCCACCGCACCAAGGCCTTTTATTTTTGTTTTTTAAAGACAGATTCTCACTCTGTCACCCAGGCTGGAGGGCAATGTTGGGATCATAGCTCACTACAGCCTTTAACTCCTGGGCTCAAGAGATCCTTCTGCCTCACCCTCCTAAGTTGCTGGGGACCACAGCCAAGCACCATCATGCCCAGCTAATTTTGTTTCTTTTTTTGTAGAGATAAAGTCTTACTATGTTGTCCAAGCTGACCATGAACTCCTGGCCTCAAGTGATCCTCCAGCCTCAGCCTCCCAAAGCACTGAGATTACAAGTGTGAGTCACCTGTCCTCATCAATTCTCACAGATTTTAAACCCTAGTCTGACACTGTAAGACTAACAAGCTTTTAGACACTGCTTCATTATTCAGCACTTAATAGTTCTGTGCTCATTGTGTAGTTGGAAGTCAAAGGAAGCAGACAGTGAAAAATTAGGGAAAGACTTCACAAAGGAGGTAGAATTCTAGCTGAAAGTTGAAACTTAGGCAACACATAGACTGATGTCAAATGGGATTTAACAGATATAAAGGAATCTGATGGGAGCAGCGGTAAAAGGACACGCATGAGAAAAGCTGCTGAGAAGGGAATTGATAGGGATGACTTGGGCAACTGTAAAGATCTATAACATTAATGATGGAGAATAATGAGATACAATCTTGGTTAAGGAAGGTGTAGTCTCATTACAGAATGTCTTGGAAGTCAGACAGAAGTATTTAAATTTGATTTTATACATACCATTTAATAAAAAGGGAAGAGACTGCATAAGATTATTCTGGCATCTATATTCAGCCATATAGAATAGACAGGCAATCAGGGATATTTGGAAAGAAATTGCAAGCTTAAAAAGAGACTGCAGGAAAAAAGAAGAAATCGTCAAAGAAGAATATAAGGTTTCTACCCTGGGAACTATAAAAATGGAGATGCCACGAAATAAACAGGGAAGCTGAGAAATAAAGAAGGATTGAGAATGGGGAGGGGATATTTTTGGACATGCCAGATTTAAGCATATCCAAGTTGAGCTATCCTAATGCTATTCTATTGCATAATATCAGGTTGAAGCCAAGGTCCAGGGTGGGAATACATGGAGTGATTCATATAAATGCCTTATATTTATTTAGGGCTTTGTCACTAGAAATTCATGTATTATTAATTTTGAGTCTCAAAACCTAGAAAGGTAGAACAGACATTACCAATTTCATTTCACTAATAAATTAATGCTCAGAATTGGGGCCACGTCCGGTGGCTTATGCTTGTAATCCCAGTACTTTGAGAGGCCAAGGAGGGAGGGTTGCTTGAGACCAGGAGTTCAAAATCAACCTGGGCAACACAGTGAGATCCAGTCTACAAAAAAAAAAAAAAAAAAAAAAAAAAAAAATTAGCTGGGCATAGTGGTGCATGCCTGTCGTACCAGATACTTGGGAGGCTGAGGCAGGAGAATTGCCTGAGCCTAGGAAGTCGAGGCCACAGTGAGCCGTGATCATGCCACAGCACTCAGCTTGGGCAAGAGAGTAAGACCCTGTTTCAGAAAAAGAGAAAAGAAAAAAAAAGAAATGAACGCTCCGAATTAATGTAACTTGCCCCAAGTCAGCTTGTTAGCCGCAGAGCCAGGAGAATTCTGGCTCTCTACCCTTGTCATCAAACACTGAAAGCTTCCAAGAAGAAGCAAGCTCAAGGCCTTTCCTCCAAAAGGAGTCGTCAGCAGAGAGGCAACAGTTGAGGCCATGAGACTGTGTAACTAATTCTTTGAAGGAGAACAGAAAAAGAAAGAATTCCTAGCAGATACCCATAATTAATTAAAAAGTGAAAGGAAGAGAGCCCAGTAAGAGACACCAAGTTGACAAGAATACGCAACAGGGTAGGGGGAAAAAAAAAATCAAAACCAGAAAAGTGCAGAGTCAGGAAAGCCAAAAATGGAGTAGGTACTCAGTGATTTTAAATGCCAAAGTTGGAAAAAGACACGGATTTGGCATGAAGATAACACATTGTATGTGTGACATTTTTTTTTCCCAAAAATTTAACTCTTAAAACATTAGGGAAACTAAAAAATTCCTTCGAAGGGTTTATGACTATCAACATCCATTTGGTACATTAATAAGGGTGATTGCATTTTTCATATATTATACTTCTTCAATGTTGAAAAATTACAAAGGTGAAGAAAATAAAACATCTATTAACTAGTCTTGTAGAAAAGTAATTTGATCTTTTAAATACAGATCAACTATATTTCAACATAACCAGATGAGCTATTGCACTTTTTATTTGGTAAGAAAATATTTTCAGTTTTTACCTTCTCCACATTTGAGAGGTTTTTGATATACATAAGCAATAGTTTACTATACTTTTTGCTGTAATCTATTTTGTCAATTCAAAGGCTCAACAAAGGAAAAGAGGCAGAGCTATATAAAGGCTAAACTACACACATACCCAAAGCAAAATTACATATGAAGTAATTTATCAAGTTTTAATAGTAAATGTTATTAGAAATGATATGGTCAATCTTCTGATCACATATTTAACTTCAATCTTAAGTGGGAATTAGTATGCAGAGAAAAGTGAGCTATTTTATCCTTATCCTAACATGAGGGATATAAAATAGTTTTAATTTAAATCAACATTCATTAGTGATACATGAAGAACACAGCACCATCTTTGTACAAAGCAAGTTTTAGATCTTGGAAATAATATTTATCTTAAACCTTTAAAAAAATTAACAGGACTGCCAATGAATTAAAAGTTTAAAAGATGCAAATGAGCAAGTCAAACAACTTGCTACTGACCTTGTTCAAGTCTGAAGAGGGTCTTTTCCAGCTTCTCCATTTCGTTCAGAAGTAAAATTCGAATCTGTTTACTGTGCCCCATTTTGGCTTCTGGAGGATTTGAAATCTTTCAGAAGAATTAAAAGAACTCCACAGTCGAATGAGTTACCCCTATGAAACAAAAAGGAATTAAAATATCGAACATAACTATTGCCTTAAACTCTCCAGAGCTGACAGCGGCACTTACATGTTCGAAGTGTGTTTTATGCCTAGCAAAGCAACGAAAGAGAACGAATCTTATAACTAATAAGATTCGAGAAGGCAAATTAATACTTGTTTCCTGCCTTTGAGCACAACGAATAAAACCGAAATAAAAATGCTGTATTATAGATTCTTACAATTAAAAAAATTAAAAACCTAGAGCATTCTCAGAGAAAAGCAACACATTCAGGAAAGCCTGAAGTCAGGGGGACATTCCCAGCCCCAAGCCACAGGGCTCTGGAGACTCCGAATGGCACTTCAGCTTACAAGAGATTAGTCTGCTCAAAGATAACAGGTGGGCGATCTCCCCATTCCCAAATTCGGGTCGTCAGCCACCAATGGGGAGATGAGAACAGAGGGAAGCAGTTGTTGCCTCTGGAATAGTTGCCGTAGACAGAAGATGTACAGAGCGAGCTATAGATAGAAAGAATGCGCTTCCCCGCGAGGCCAGCGGCATTCCTAGCACTTACGCCGAGAGAGTTACACGTGCGACTTCTGGGGCACTGCAGGACCCGCGACTCTGGTGCTACGGTCGGGGGAGGGGACAAGGAGAAACAGAAGGGGAAAGGCTGGCTGCCCAGCCGCGCACAGAAGCCGCAGCCCAAGGAGGGCCGGGCACCTTGAAGGGCAAAGGGAGGGGCGGCGGGCGGCTGGGGCAGGGCCGAGGAGGCTGGGTGAGGAGCAAGTGGCGTCTCAGCGACTCCGCCTCGCGCGGGGTCCGGGGCACACCTGGGACCCTACCGGGCCGTGCTCACACTCGCTCCAGGTGGGAGCGGACCAGTCCGCTGGCCCATTTCCGGGAGGCTCGACCCGCTCGCCCCGACCGCTAGTCTCGCGAGAGCGTGGTCACCGCACCGTCTCAGTCGGCTCCGGGCCCAGAGACCTGGAGCCCGCTGCGGCCGAGGTCGGGACCCGCATTTTCTCCTCGCCACGGGGAGGGTGCGGCGGCCAAGGCGCGGCCTTCCTTTAACAACCTGCGAGCTCACAGTTGCACATGAAAATCCCGCGGTACCAGGCTGCGAGCTAGGTGGAGCTGCACAGTAGGATTTTTTGGTGGGAAGGGCTGAATGGTGAGGGGCAAACGACTGGCTTCTGGTGACTTTTGTACCACCGCGTGATATATTTCTTTGTTTTGATAATTTTTACTTGGCCTAAGTTCTCAGAGCCCTGATTTCTAAGTGTCTAAAATAAGAGTCCCGGCCGGGCACGGTGGCTCACGCCTGTAATCCCAGCACTTTTGGAGGCCAACGCGGGTTGATTACGAGGTCAGGAGTTCAAGACCAGCCTGGCCACGTTGGTGAAACCCTGTCTCTACTAAAAATACAAAAAAAAAAAAAAAAAAAAAAAAAAAAAATTAGCCGGGCACGGTGGCGGGTGCCTGTGGTCCCAGCTACTCGGGAGGCTGAGGCAGGAGAATTGCTCGAACCCAGGAGGCGGAGGTTGCAGTGAGCCGAGACCGCGCCACTGCACTCCAGCCTGGCAACAGAGCTAGACTCTGTCTCAATAAAATAAAATAAAATAAAATAAGAGTCCTGGCTACAGCCTTGACATTCCATCCAACACATGTCCATCATTTCTAGTGCTAACAGACAGGACACATGTTCCTGAATGCGGATACAGTAGGTAAGGTATGGCCAGTCTGCAAACCATCGATCATGCAAACACCACTGATACTTAACGGTGTCTAGAACCTACTGATACATAGCTGCGTGTACCTAAGTTACCCTAGATAGACCTGGAGATCATCTGAGATTAAGTTGCACTTCTGTTAGGCCAGTAACACAGAACTTTTTGCAGATGATTAAGGAGATTTAATGCCTGAGGGTAAAGGAAAACCCATCTAACAAGGCTTTTGGAGGGTTCCTAATGGTCATGAGAAAATGGACAGAAGATTTGGTTAACTAAGCCTTGTGGGGTGTGGAGAAGATTCTTGCATTTTTTATTGTGGTATGACTGTAGGTCTAAAGAGGGTATAGGTTAAAAAAAACCCATACTGAAGTATTTGTTTGTTTTGTAGATTTCTGAGAATGGCTAATTGCAAATGGTCCGTAACTGACTTTGGGAACCCACAGCTCATTTTCTGGCCCCTATTATTTTCCAGGCACATAAAGTGCTGGGAATGCAGCAATAAAACAGTCACTGCCCTCAGAGAACTCCTACATTTTATTGGTGGGAGACAGATAAATTATAATTTATTTAATTATACAGGATATAATATAATTTATTCCACACTTTCCCCTTCTTATTCTATATAGGCTATGATATATCCTATATAATAAGGATGTATTTTATCCTATATAGAATAAGAAGGGGAAAGTGTGGAAGAGTAAGCAGAGAGAGGTTTGTATTTCTAAATACAACGTTTAGTAAAGTGATGCCAAACTGAGAGAAAGAAGGAAGAGGATGTCTAAGGTAGAGGGTTACATGTAGAGGTATAGGAAGTACAAAGACCATGAGGCAGGAGCATACTTGGCGAACCGAAGAAGGTCACCATAGCTGAGTGAAGAAGAGAGTGGTAAGAGATTAGGACAGACAGATGGGGCAGGAGAGGGGGTCAGGAGCACGGGCAGGTGACCAGATCTTATAAGGCTTTGTAGGCCATTGCAAGGACTTGGGCTTTTAAACTTTGGAAAAAGAGCCATGGAGATTTTGAACAGAGGAGTGACATAATCTGACCTTTTAAAAGGATCGCTCTGCAACTTTATGGTAAATAGTTGAATAAACTGTAGAGTGTAGCAAGGAAGGAAGCAAGAAGACCAGTTAGAAAGCTATTTTAGTTATCCAAGCAAGAGAAAATGACTTGTGTGTGTTTTGTGTGTGTGTGTGGGGGGGTTGGGGGGATGGGGGGGAGGTGGTATAGCAGGTGGTATAGCAGGTGCTGAATTCTGGACTATTTTGAAGGTAGAGCCTACAGAATTGACTAGTGGAGAAAGGAGTCAAGGATGATTCCAAGGTTTTTGGCCTGAACGACCAGAAAGCACTGTCCAATAGAAATATTAAGTTCCACATAGGTCATTTAAAATTTTCAAGTAGCCACATCAAAAAAGTTTTTTAAATACAAAAACTAGCCAGGCGTGGTGGCACATATCTGTAGTCCCAACTACTCCAGAGGCTGAGGCAGGAGGATCGTTTCAACCTGGGAGGTGGAGGTTGCAGTGAACCCAGATCATGTCACTGCACTCCAGCGTGGATGACAGAGCGAGACTGTCTCAAAAAAAAAAAAAAAAAAAAGGTTTGAAAAAGGTAAAATTAATTTTAGCAATATAATTTACTTAACTCAATATATCCAAGACATCGTTTCAACATACAACCAATAGAAAAAGTTATATTATTTTATTTTATTTTACTTTTTGAAACAGGGTCTTGTTGTCACCCAGGCTGAAGTACAGTGATGCAATCATAGCTCACTGCAGCCTCAACCTCCTCCCTCAGCCTTCCTCATCCATCCCCAGTAGCTGGGATTACCAAATGCATTACATTTGTTAAAAATATTATTTCACAAAGCTTCTGTGTCTGTTACTTATGTTTTGGTGTACTGAGTCATATATTCTTACTGGAAGGATTATGGTTAAAAACAAGATTGAAAGTGATTGTTCTAGATTGCATGCTGTGTAAAATGATAATTCATGATTATGAAGTGGTGCCTGGTGTTGAATCCTAGCTCTGCCACTAACTAGCTGTGAAGCTTTGGATGGTACTCAACCTCTTTGGGCTTTGGTTTTTCCAACTGTAAAATGGGGATGAAAGTAGTATCTATTGTTAAGTAAATGAGGGCTTAAAATTGTGCCTGATAGAGACTAAGTACTAGTGTACAAACAAATGTTAGCAGAGTGAGGCCCTGATCATGTGGTGAAAACAGATCACATTTACGTTTGTCTTCAAGTTCTCCCTTTTCATGCCCCCTCCCACTTTCAGTCTCTCCTATGACTGTCTCATTACACTGCCCTCCTGTTGATCACTGTTCTCCGGGGCTCCAAAATTAGCCTTTCCTGCTGTCCTTCCTCCAGTAAAACTCTCACTTTAATGCCCAGTGTTGCAATTAGACATAAGAAGTAAAAGAGATCGATGACATCAATTCCTTTAGTAGTGATTTATTCTCATACAAATGCTTGAATTTTACAAGATTTGTAAATCCAAATGATCTTAATCTTGGAAATTTCATATTTTGAATGAAAATGAAGACTGTTAAGTAATGGAACCATGATTAATATGATGTGCCTCTAAGATTAATTTTACAAGCTACATAGTGTCCATTTTTAAAAAGTCACATTATTGTGCTATTTGTGAAGTTCTTGGAATGCCAATGAATTTGCAGCCTAGGGCTACAGTGGTGCCATGTGCAGCCTTCGTTTTAATGCACATTTGTCATGTGCCTGTCCTGTGCATGACAGTGATCTATATATACACAATAATCTCATGCTGTAGTTGTCAGGAGAAGGCTCGCCTTGAGGAACATCTGATGGATAACCTCAACTATTTGGCAGTGACTCTAGTGCTTTCTAAAACATTGATGTTAATGCATTTGGGGAGTGGGAGGAGGACTGTAGTTGGAAAAGACTTTCTCCAGGGTTGTGTGTATGCGTGTATGCTTTCTGAAAGGAAAAGAGTTATTTGGGTTATTATTTATAATTAGGTCCTAATCCTGTGACCTTGTGGATCTGAAATGGATGGGGCTGCCTTATATTTGGTTTTTATATTCTTTGGCATTTTCTGTGCACTTTATTTCATAGTGCACCATTATTATCATGTCATAATTTTACTTTGTAAAATTCGGAGTTCTGTTTTCAGAATCCCTTCCGAATTGAACCATTTATTCTGTACTTTTGAAATATCCAGATACAGTCAGTGAGAAGCAAAAGGGAAGCTGGGAAAAGAAATAGAGTTGAAGTTGAAGTGGAAGACTTGAATATAATGATATAGAGGTATGGAAAATTGGAGAGAGATCTTTTTAAAATGAGATAGAAAACAGACTTCAGAGGCAAACAAACCTTGGATTCGTTTTAATCACTCTGAATCACAGTTGATTCACCCATAAAATGGAGAGAACAAGATCTCACTTGCAAGTTTGGCGTGAAGATTAGATGAAAAAATGAAAGCATTTGAAGCATCTATTCTAGCACTTAGCATATGGTAGACTTTTAATAATAGTTTTTTTTTTTTTTTTTTAAAGACGGGGTTACATCTAGTTGTCCTTGCTGGGTTAAAGATGGTAGTCAGACAAATCAGATGAAGAGGAGATTCCCAGTGCATGGCAGAGGCCAAAGGTTTCAGAAAGTTTCTTACCTTGTGAAGAGGGGATGTAAGAGTGAATTTAGAGAGCAAAGTCAGAGCCCAGTGTTTCAGCCCAAATTAGAAAACAGAGGAAAGGTGGAACCTAAGAATTTCAGACATTTTGTTTTTGTGATCCTTGGTAGATAAATAACAGC